CCGTTGATAAAAAATATATAAAAAAATAAACTGTGGGTGTTCCTGGCACAGAAAAACGCCCCCCAAGGGAGACCTGTTTGGATTTGGCATCACACCAATCAAATCAAATTAAAAGCAAAACGTTGTTGTCCGAAAAATAATTATGTTTCTGGTCTGCTTGTGACGTGTTGTTGTCCTGCAGTAGCTAGCTAGCTGAATTGGCCCTTTCCTAAGCCATGAATGAAGATGGGGATTTGGACTTGGTGTTTCTACTTAATTCTCCGTACAGGCCAATGATTATAAAGGCAATTCTGATCTAACCATAAATGCATACATTGTGCCTCTGGCCTGAGATGATTGAAGTTCAATATGTAGCCTAGATGTAGTAGGCTCACATTAACTAACTAGCTAGTTAACTTAGCTGGTTCATTGTTGCTCATGTGATGAAGTTAGGCTAGCAAGCATTGTAGCCAGGTAGAACATAAAAAACTAAAAGTGTGTGCTACTGTATGACAGTCATAGACCGTTTTGCCAACAGAGGGGGATGGCATTTGTGTTGATCTTGCCAGAAGATACCGACCCTACCGTTAAACTTGTTTACACTGAGATGCGCTGGGGTCGGAAAGCAATCATGTTTACATTAAGACACCGTGGAGCCGGCGCGAGACATGGGTCGGAAACATACCTCAATGCAGGGATGGGATATGCCACTATACTCCAAATTTTACCTTTACCCACACTGCTCCATCGAGAACATTGTAATACTACCAGTTTTCCCGGAAAACTGCCCTTTTCGTTGTCTTGCTAGCTAGCAGTAGCCACATCAGACATTATGGAATGGCACGTTGCGTTGAACAACAAAGGAGCTGATTGGCTGATACTGCCATTCCAAAATGGCTGTGGTGGCTACTGCTAGCTAGCATGAGAACTAAAAGGGCAGTTTTTCCTGAAAACTATAATTATTTAAATATTCTCAATGTATCAGTGTGGATAAAGGTAACATTTGGAGTACAGTGGCATAGCCCATCCTTGCATTGAGGTACGATTTCCGATCCATGTCTCGCGCCGGGTCCACAGTGTCTTAATGTAACCATGATTGCATTCCGACAGTGCAGCTCAGTGTAAACAAGTGTAACGGTAGGGTCAGTATTTTCTGGCAAGTGTTCATCTAGTCTACAAGTAGGGTGAGTCAACAATATGTTTTTTCTACTTACGTGCCCACACACACACACATACACACATATTTTTGGGGGGTATCTAAGTTTGCTTTCACTGTATTACACTAATCATATATAGCCTAGTTGATTTGATGATGTTTACATTTTTAAGTTGAAATGGTTCTGGAATAGGGGAGGCAGTGCTCCTGTTTTCGTTGTGCTGACTTGCTGTAAGTCTCTGTGGTTCTAAATCAGAAGTTGTTTAGTACAAATGTCAGAACATTAACTTGCTTGACGATGTTGTAGGTCATGTAACTGTTTGTTACATGCAATATTTGCTTAGTGGACACTTCACCAGACAGATGTTGCTCTCCGTCTTTGTGATGAAACAAACGTATGTGTGGTTGAAATTATTCCCCCACTGTGTGACTATTGTCTTTTTGTTGTCTCGGCCTTATTGTATATTTACATTTTAGTCATTTAGCAGACGCTCTTATCCAGAGCGACTTACAGTTATATTTTTTTTATACTGGCCCCCCGTGGGAATCGAACCCACAACCCTGGCGTTGCAAACGCCATGCTCTATCAACTGAGCTACATCCCTGCCGGCTACTCCCCTAGACGACGCTGGGCCAATTGTGCGCCGCCCATGAGTCTCCCGGTCGCGGCCGGCTGCGACAGAGTCTGGATTCGAACCAGGATCTCTAGTGGCACAGTTAGCACTGCGATGCAGTGCCTTAGACCACTGCGCCACTCAGGAGTTATATCACGGTGGCGTATGAACGAATGGGTTAAAGAGCAAACAACGCAATTATTCCTGGCTAGGCTTCCCCAGTGATTTTACCCACACACTGCTATTGTTCTTTCAACAACAGCAGCAATTACAAATTACAAGGGTACATCATGAGGTTGGAGTGAGATCTTTTGAGATACAAAGGCCCAACTGACTGGAATAATTTACCTATAGAAATTGAATTTAAGAAAGCCTTTTTCAAAACATTTAATGTTAAGAACAAACTGTTTGTGTTTTTAATTAATAGAAACATCACCCTGTGAAGATATTTGTAAATATGTATGTCCACTGTAAAGGGGTTACCGTGATTTTGACAGTAGCTTACAGGCAGCTCGGTGGCAAGTAAAATCTGTATTTCATATTACAGTACACCTACTGTAATATAAATATGGGATCAAAGCAAGTACTGTGTAATGACACACAGTACAATACTGTAGAATTGACTTTATTATATTGTAAAAAAAAAAAGGGATTGGTGCAAGAACATTGGCTGCTAGGTAAAGTGTTTACAAACATTACAGAATATTAATGAATATTTGATGTTTTATGTCACTTGCACTTCTAGAGGCGTTAACAAAGGCTTCCAAACTAGCAGCGACTACATGTGTTTTTCTAATGTTTTTCTTGAAATTAGATTATACTGTATTTGAATGAAACCAGATCAAAGTATGAAAAATTACTGTTGCTTCTACATTGATAAAGTTTGATCATAAAGTTACTGGTCCCCTCACCCATGTCAAACACTTGGATTCAGTAGGTGGGATTATTAAGGGGATAGGGTGACATCATCCTAACTCTCATTTTAATACAGCAATAGTAACATGATATTCTCGTACCTAATTTAAATAAGTACCGCCTTGTAACCAACATAGGAGAAGGCGTGTTTGCAGAGGGGCAAGGTTTATATAGCTATATAGCTACTCTACTAGTGCCAAACAAAACATACTTAAATACATGTAATTTGTCCTTTATTAATTATTAATGTCTACATTTGTTTTTCACATGTTTATTCTATCACAGACACATTAATGCATACTTTCTTACAGACACATTAATGCATACTTACTGTCCCCACTACAACAAAAAATACTTAAATACATGTAATTTGTCCATGAAACATTTAATTTAAATAAGGTAGAATTCCATTCATTCCTAAGGTGGGGGAAAAAAGTATTTAGTCAGCCACCAATTGTGCAAGTTCTCCCACTTAAAAAGATGAGAGAGGCCTGTAATTTTCATCATAGGTACACGTCAACTATGACAGACAAAATGAGAAAAAAAATTCCAGAAAATCACATTGTAGGATTTGTAATGAATGTATTTGCAAGTTATGGTGGAAAATAAGTATTTGGTCAATAACAAAAGTTTCTCAATACTTTGTTATATACCCTTTGTTGGCAATGACACAGGTCAAACGTTTTCTGTAAGTCTTCACAAGGTTTTCACACACTGTTGCTGGTATTTTGGCCCATTCCTCCATGCAGATCTCCTCTAGAGCAATGATGTTTTGGGGCTGTCGCTGGGCAACACAGACTTTCAACTCCCTCCAAAGATTTTCTATGGGGTTGAGATCTGGAGACTGGCTAGGCCACTCCAGGACCTTGAAATGCTTCTTATGAAGCCACTCCTTCGTTGCCCGGGCGGTGTGTTTGGGATCATTGTCATGCTGAAAGACCCAGCCACGTTTCATCTTCAATGCCCTTGCTGATGGAAGGAGGTTTTCACTCAAAATCTCACGATACATGGCCCCATTCATTCTTTCCTTTACACGGATCAGTCGTCCTGGTCCCTTTGCAGAAAAACAGCCCCAAAGCATGATGTTTCCACCCCCATGCTTCACAGTAGGTATGGTGTTCTTTGGATGCAACTCAGCATTCTTTGTCCTCCAAACACGACGAGTTGAGTTTTTACCAAAAAGTTATATTTTGGTTTCATCTGACCATATGACATTCTCCCAATCCTCTTCTGGATCATCCAAGTGCACTCTAGCAAACTTCAGACGGGCCTGGACATGTACTGGCTTAAGCAGGGGGACACGTCTGGCACTGCAGGATTTGAGTCCCTGGCGGCGTAGTGTGTTACTGATGGTAGGCTTTGTTACTTTGGTCCCAGCTCTCTGCAGGTCATTCACTAGGTCCCCCCGTGTGGTTCCGGGATTTTTGCTCACCGTTCTTGTGATCATTTTGACCCCACGCGGTGAGATCTTGCGTGGAGCCCCAGATCGAGGGAGATTATCAGTGGTCTTGTATGTCTTCCATTTCCTAATAATTGCTTCCACAGTTGATTTCTTCAAACCAAGCTGCTTACCTATTGCAGATTCAGTCTTCCCAGCCTGGTGCAGGTCTACAATTTTGTTTCTGGTGTCCTTTGACAGCTCTTTGGTCTTGGCCATAGTGGAGTTTGGAGTGTGACTGTTTGAGGTTGTGGACAGGTGTCTTTTATACTGATAACAAGTTCAAACAGGTGCCATTAATACAGGTAACGAGTGGAGGACAGAGGAGCCTCTTAAAGAAGAAGTTACAGGTCTGTGAGAGCCAGAAATCTTGCTTGTTTGTAGGTGACCAAATACTTATTTTCCACCATAATTTGCAAATAAATTCATTAAAAATCCTACAATGTGATTATCTGGATTTTCTTTTCTCAATTTGTCTGTCATAGTTGACGTGTACCTATGATGAAGATTACAGGCCTCTCTCATCTTTTTAAGTGGGAGAACTTGCACAATTGGTGGCTGACTAAATACTTTTTATCCCCACTGTATAGAGAACCACTCCCACTGGGTAGTGCCAATATGGCCGACCGGTGGCTTAAAAGCCTCTCAATGGCCAATACATAGCATCAGCAATCCAGGGTTTACAGTATATACATCATTTGTTACCTCATCCATATCCCAGTGCCTTGACCTAGTTCTAGCAGTTTATGTTCAGCCTGCAGGACGCCCCCGTTTTCATTGAGTTCACGGCTAACCACTGTATTTTTTTTTAGACTTGTTTATTTTCTTGTTTGTTTGTTTATTTTTTATCTGTTTTTACTTCCTGATTACTGTTGTTTCCTGAATTCCTTTTCCCTGTGTGTTTCCAGGGAGACATCCAGCAGCTGCTGATTGTAGCCGATCACCGTGCTGCCTATGACTACTGCGAGCACTACAGCCCCGACTGTGAGGTCCCTGTCCCAGAGCAGCCCCAGGCCCAGGACCCCAACACAGACGAATACGTGAGTCACTTCATCCCTCCACACTCTTCTGTTCTCCGCCATCCTGTTTCTATCCATGTTTACAGTATGTTTAGAGTATGTTTTATATACTCTATCCTTCATTTCAGGTGAGTCTCTCTCTTCTCATGTCTCAGGGTAATTGTCAACAGGTGGAAGTCTGTGTCGGCTTGAGAAGTTTAACAACAAGATAATACACTATTTAATAAAGTGCTAATTTTTGGACAAGCAGAGGTTAAGGGCAACTATTGGTCAGGGTGGGTCCTTTAGGGCCTAAGGAGGAGTACCTGATCTAGCAATAACAGAAAGGCTAACCAATGAACCTCTAAACCAGCTCCAGGTTCAAACAGTCAGGGAGTTCTGTACATTATATCAAACACCTTCATATACCCTGAGGCATGGTATTCCTTTATCTCTTCATCCATAAGCAGCTCTTTGATTAGGGATCAGGTAGCGTCTGTTGGACAAACTGCTGGAAAGAAAAAAAGAGCTGCATGGCTGAGGGGAAAAACGCTGAAGTCTGCCAGAGAGAAAGTGCTGAGTGCTGGGGAAACCAACAGGGTTGAATCTGCTATGCAGTGATAGAGTAGATCAAATATGCAGGCATGGCAGAGTACTTGCCTAAGCCTGTATCTCCATATTCTATGCTGAATGGAGATTGTCCTTCAACAGTATATCTGCCCCCATTCTATTAAACAACTCTGCTTTCCTACCTTGGCGTGGTAAGGGTTGATCCTTCGGAGGAGAAGGACATTAATTCAACAAGCTAACCAACCACGCCCTTGGACTCATTCCAGTTGAAGTGGTGATATCACCCTTCTTATGGACGGGGAGTAGTCAGGGAGAGAACCAGAACCATAGTGTGCCCAACCACTGCTCTTGTACCTCATCTCACCCCATCTGGAGCCATCAAGAACAGGCATAACTGGTCGCTAAGGGCCCCCGGCCACTAGGGACTCAGTCGGGGTCACAAATTACTGTTGAGAGTTAGAATAGTAGAATACACAACGTGCAAGTTCGATATTTGGTTGGTTTTGTCAGTCACTGACAGTCACTCACTTAGCCATGTCAGCTAACAATTTTTTGACTGGTAAGTTAGTCTAGCCAGTTATCTAAACTTGTAGTAATCAAGGTTGAATACCGATCGGGCACACAGGGTACGCGCACAGGCGCCCTGACCTCCAGGGAAGCCCCATTGATTAGGTTAGTCACTCTCACTCAGATATCAATGATATGACATAAGCCATGGCAAAATGGGTAGAATATGTATTTCTGCACCATGGTAAAATTAATATACAGTTGAAGTTGGTCCTCTGTAGCTCAGCTGGTAGAGCACGGCGCTTGTAACGCCAAGGTAGTGGGTTCGATCCCCGGGACCACCCATACACAAAAAAAAATGTATGCACGCATGACTGTAAGTCGCTTTGGATAAAAGCGTCTGCTAAATGCCATATTATTATTATTAAATTGGAAGTTTACATACACTTAGGTTGGAGTCATTAAAACTTGTTTTTCAACCACTCCACACATTTTTTTGTTAACAAACTATAGTTTTGGCAAGTCGGTTAGGACATCTACTTTGTGCATGACACAAGTAATTTCTCTAACAATTGTTTACAGACAGATTATTTCACTTATAATTCACTGTATCACAATTCCAGTGGGTCAGAAGTTTACATACACTAAGTTGACTGTGCCTTTAAACAGCTTAGAAAATTCCAGAAAATTATGTCATGACTTTAGAATCTTCTGATAGCCTAATTGACATCATTTTAGTCAATTGGAGGTGTACCTGTGGATGTATTTCAAGGCCTACCTTCAAACTCAGTGCCTTTTTGCTGGGCATCATGGGAAAATCTATAGAAATCTCAGAAAAAAACATGTAGACCTCCACAAGTCTGGTTCATCCTTCAGCAATTTCCAAATGCCTGAATGTACCACGTTCATCTGTACATACAATAGTATGCAAGTATAAACACCATGGGACCACGCAGCCGTCATTATGCTCAGGAAGGATGAACAGACTTTGGTGTGAAAAGTGCAAATCAATCCCAGAACAACAGCAAAGGATCTTGTGAAGATGCTGGAGGAAACAGTACAAAAGTATCTATATCCACAGTAAAACGAGTCCTATATCGACATAACCTGAAAGGCCGCTCAGCAAGGAAGAAGCCACTGCTCCAAAACCGCCATAAAAAAGCCAGACTACGGTTTGCAACTGCACATGGGGACAAAGATCGTACTTTTTGGAGAAATGTCCTCTGGTCTGATGAAACAAAAATAGAGCTGTTTGGACATAATGACCATCGTTATGTTTGGAGGAAAAAGGGGAATGCTTGCAAGCCGAAGAACACCATCCCAACCGTGAAGCACGGGGGTGGCAGCATCATGCTGTGGGGGTGCTTTTCTGCAGGGGGGACTGGTGCACTTCACAAAATAGATGGCATCATGAGGAAGGAAAATTATGTGGATATATTGAAGAAACATCTCAAGACATCAGTCAGGAAGTTATAGCTTGGTCGCAAATGGGTCTTCCAAATGGACAATGATCCCAAGCATACTTCCAAAGTTGTGGCAAAATGGCTTAAGGACAACAAATTCAAGGTATTGGAGTGTCCATCAAAAAGCCATGACCTCAATCCTATAGAAAATGTGTGGGCAGAACTGAAAAAGCGTATGCGAGCAAGGAGGTCTAAAAACCTGACTCAGTTACACCAGCTCTGTCAGGAGGAATGGGCCAAAATTCACCCAATTTATTGTGGGAAGCTTGTGGAAGGCTACCTGAAACGTTTCACCCAAGTAAAAAAATGTAAAGGCAATGCTACCAAATACTAATTGTGTATGTAAACTTCTGACCCACTGGGAATGTGATGAAAGAAATAAAAGCTGAAATAAATCATTCTCTCTACTATTATTCTGACATTGCACATTCTTAAAATAAATTGGTGATCCTAACTGATCTAAAACAGGGAACTTTTACTAGGATTAAATGTCAGGAATTGTGAAAATTGTGTATTTGGCTAAGGTGTATGTAAACTTCCGACTTCAACTGTAATTGCAACATTTTCTCTCCGGCTCATTGGCAAAATGTGTAGAATTGCAGGAAATGTACTTTAAAACATACATTTTTCTTAGGCACCCAAAAGGCTAACGCCGGCCCTGATCAAGAACCAAAGGGAACCAGTTTACCCTGACATAAGAGAACCGTGGTTCTACAAGTACAGCCAAACCAGAGTCAAATGTTACGGTCACAAACACATACCTCAAACATGTTTCTGACTTGTTTCGGGTTTGTTCATGATCATATTCCAATAATAAGGCTAATATGGAGAAGAGCTCACAGATAAAATGAGCTCTGTGACAGAGAGCTATGGCATGCCATCATTCGGTACATTGCACCGCCATAAGCAAGTTAAGTAAGCAAGCATAAAATGGAAGTGAACCCCACTCCTGCCTACCTTCCCTTCTTAAAAACCTTCACTCCTGATCTCCCTTGTACCACCTCACCCCATTATCCCCTCTTAGAACCCTCCAACCCGCTCTCCCCTCGTGGCCCCTCTTACCCCCCCCACCCTACCCTGATCCTGACTGGACTGATCCTGACCTCCTGGTGCGATTCCAGACTGTATCACAACCTGGCCATGATTGGGAGTCCCATAGGGCGGCGCACAATTTGCCAAGGGTCATCCGGGTTTGGCCGGGGTAGGCCGTCATTGTAAATAAGAATTTGCCTAGTTAAATAAAGGTAAAATAAATAAAAAATCTAAATGGTAGCACATATAGTGAGCACACATCACTCTTTCCACTTTGTCCTATTGAAGCACACTGGCTAATGGAGAATGATGATGTAGTATTTACAGCCACATCTATATATGATTTGGTTTTACCTTCCAACATAAATGTATGTGAAATTGATACATTTATGAGGTAAAAATATAGAATTTTACAGTTCTCACCAGTTATCAAACTATATACGTTAACTATGCACTACATCATTTTGGTTAAGTAGTTATCAGTTTTGAGCAGTATGATTTAGTGATCATTAATTGTTTTGTTATTAATGACAAGAAAATCATAGCAAAAGTAAAGTGAATGATGCATTTGTTAAATGCAGATACTGTACATAGATTGAATATGTATCCAAATTTAAAGAGTGATTTGATGGTGCAGGACAAGAGACACTTGGAAGTTGGAAGTTTCTGTATTTCTCTGAAAGGCGAGCGAGAGAGAGATGAGAGAGAGAGAAGAAGCGAGAGAGAGAGAGAGAGCGAGAGAGGAGAGAGAGAGAGAGACGCGAGAGAGGAGAGAGAGTATAGAGAGCGAGAAAGAGAAAGAGAGAAAAGAGAGAAGAAGAAAGACGATCGGTTATATCACGAACATACCCATCCCTCTCTCTCCCTCTCTATCTCTCTCTCTCATCTCTCTCTCTCTCTCTCTCTCTCTTCTCTCTCTCTCTCTCTCTCTCTACTCTCTCTCTCTCTATCTATCTCATCTCTCTCTATATGTCGTCTTATCATTTTCAACCCTTATCGATGGATGAAAGCAAGAATATACGGAGAGGGTGTGCATTATGGTGATTATTGGAACGACATGATGCGGTCGCTAGAAACGAGCCGCGAGTTCTGTCGGCCAATAATCGCCATAACGCACACCCTCTCGTATATATTATTGCTAGCTGTGGTGTTGTGCTAGCCGTGGTGTTGTGCTCAATAACACCAGTGCTGGAACGCACTTTTGACCAATCCGATTGCTTGGCCGGAACTAACCGTTTCATAATTCCCTGTATTGTACAGAACACAGAGGAGGACAGCTACTACTATGAGTATCCTTACTATGAGGACATGGATGGGAAGCCTTCTGAGACTGAGACGGACGAAGCAGCTGGACTTGCCACGGAAGACGTAAAAGTACTGTCCCCTGTCCATTTGAAGGACTACCGTCTCTCTCCAGTTTAGCATGGTGGGAGTGGGACTTCAGACCCTCCCCCATCCTCATCCCTTGTCTTATTACGTAGTGATTGTTGTTGATGATTGCTGTTGATGCTAGCTGAGTATGCTTTCTTGGCCAGATCTCCCTGTGAAAAGCTTTTCTCTAACTCAGGTTAATGTAAATTAATAACATTAAACAAAGCCGTTGTTACGGCCAGTTGTATAGGCTACAGTATGTCCTTCTAACATTGCGTTGTTTTCCTCTCCAGGTGTCCGTGCCAGAGAGCGGCCGTGTCGTCACCTCCGTCAAAGAGGTGGCGTCATCAGTAAGGCAGACAGCCAGTCAGGGAGCCGAGGGCAAAGTGTTGACCAGTACCGCCACTGCTGAAGCCGCCGCTGCTGCTGGAGCTGGAGAGGACACCAGCCGTTACGACAACTACGATACGGAAAGTTACGGCAACTATGAGACGTACTACGACGAGTCGACGGCAGTGCCCGACGTCACTCGCAGGGTCACCATCAGCAGTAGCAGCATGGGGACGGGCGCAGGGGTGGAGCTGGACTTGGGGTTGGGGTCAAAGGTTGACCTGGGCACGGGGGCAGAGATTGAGAAGGTCATCACCACTAGTGGAGGAGTCACCATCACACGCAACAAGACCTCAGTGAGTTATCATCATCACAAACAAAAAAATGCTGGGTAAAAATAATCAATTTTGTGTAAATATTGGACACACGCAGGGTTATTTTGACACAGCCAGTTGGGTCACTCAGTTGGGTTGTTGGGTTATTGATGCTGGGTTATTGAGCTATGACTCACTGGGTCAGATCAGAAGACTCGAGGAGTGGCTTTCATATAGTTCTTTTTGGCCACCCGTGAGTGTAATTTCATTCCGGTTCATCTGTCTGTTGAGCACTTTTGTAGCATTTGTGAGTCTTTCCCAAGACTATGAGTTTCTCAAGTGCCTAGGCATGTCCCAATGTTGGGAGAGTTACCACTGTTTTAAAATGTATTCTAATAATGTTATTAATGTTATATTAGATTATGTAATGTGCAAAAATATTTTAGGATACATTTCATTTGCAGTGAACATGAATTATATTTACTCTCACTGGTGGCCAAAAATAACTATATTTAAGCCACACCGCCAATAGGCCATGCCTTCTGAAAATCACCTTATTACCCAAACATGGCTTAATTTATTACTTGGGTTTATATTCACTTTCATGCTCGGTTGACCCGTTGTATAGGCCCTACAGGGTTTCCAAAATCTTGGTCCTGGGGCCCCCCTTGGGTGCACGTTTTGGTTTTTACTCTAGCACTACACGGCTGATTCAAATAATGAAAGCTAGATGATGAGTTGGTTATTTGAATCAGCTGTGTAGTGCTAGAGTAAAAACCAAAACGTACACCCAAGGTGGGCCCCAGGACTGAGTTTGGGAAACCCTGGACTATAGGCTACAGTATAATGGGTATTTTTTAATGTGATCCATAGGCTTTTTTCAGGAGGCGTGGCCTATTGGGGGTGTGGAAATACATTTACTCTCACAGTTGGACAAAAATATATATTAAATCCACGCCCTTACTAAGCCAAAATAACCCAACATGTCTTGTGTCCACTATTTACCCAGCGCTGGGTTGTTTTTAACCCAGCATGTATACTCACATAGAACTACACGTGTGGAAAGCAGCTATAGCAGGAGGATAAGATGATTGTAGTTATCTGTCATTGTGTGCCAGTGTACTATTCTCATTGCATCGCACTTCTGTATCCTTTCCTCTCTGGTCTCTCAGGTTGCAACAGCCTACGATGAGAACTATGGCGAGGGCTATGACCTGTCCTATGGAGAGGGAGAGGAGGATGAGTACAGTGTCGGCGGAGGTGACCGCGGCAGTAGAACCAGCAGTACTGTCGAAATGGGTGCTGGTGGCGGATCCGTATCGGTCGGGGTTGGTTCTGTTTCCGTTGGGGGCGGTTCCGTCTCTGTGGGTGGATCTGCCAGCGCCGGAGGCGGGGCGGCGAGCGCTGGGGCAGGAGCTGGAGCCGGAGCCGGAGCCGGAGCCGGAGCCAGAGGGGGAGCAGGGGGCCAGGGTGTGGCTATTGAGGGAGATTACACTGATCTGGAGGGTGTTGGGTTTAAGGAGGAGTCCATCTCTGAGTACGGGGACGAAGATTATGGCTATGGAGACCTGGACTACGATGGACAGGAGGAAAAGGTGCTGCCGGCAGAGACAGATGAATACTATGGACAGGTAATTATGACTGATGGTGGTGATGATGACGACGGTGGTGATGATGATGATGTTGATGATGATGGTGTCATCTGCAGGTTGATGGGTCTCGAGGAGAGAAGGGGCAGAAGGGAGAGCCTGCTATCATTGAGCCTGTGAGTATAATTTCTCCTATGTGTGTGTTTCACACGTGTGTGTGTGTGTGTGTCAGTGTGAGAGTGTGTTAAACATGTGTGTGTGTGTGTGTCAGTGTGAGAGTGTGTATTTCACATCCAAGCCATGAAATATCACACATCACTGATTGAGAGTCATATAACACAAACACACTGGTCTCGGCCCTCTGCATCGTCATTTTGTGTCCTGCAGCAAGGCCCACCTCTGGTCAAAGGGTAAACATTTAGAGGATGGTTACATCCAGAGATTGTGAATGATCATCTGGTGTGTAAACACACTGTGGGCTAGCATAAACACTGACCAGGGAGAGACCCGCTGGGAACAGAGGGGTAGAGCGAGAGAGAGAGAGAGAGAGAGAGAGAGAGAGATAAACACCTCATAGATGGAATGTAGCCAGCCCCTACTTGGGATTTGAACCCATGACAGTGTTAACCCGAGGAGCTAAAGCCACGGCTATACCTCAAGGATTTGAGTTCTCTACATAGGTCTCTGGTACGCCAATGTCATCACTGGTAGCAAATTAATGTCTTGTGATCCAAAGCATCCACATCAAGAAATATATATTCATAATGCAATACCTCAATCTAAACTGAGTCAAGGGAGTTTTGAATCCCATGACTTCAGATCTAGTGAATGGAGTCCCTATAATCATCCACCTCTGCTTCATTTAAACCGTTGTCACTAAGTGTGTGTGTTTGTGTGTGAGTGACTGAGCGTGTGTGTGTGTGTGTGTGTCCTACCACCCAGAATGAGCCTGTGAGTCGTCCATCTAGTTCAGATTTGAACTAAACAATGAGCAGAGCCCCCTCCAGTCCAATCTCCATGTGTCTGCAGTGACGACATCCCCCCCCCCCCCCAGCCCACTTCCAGCCCCACCCTGGCTACTCACACATACACACACTCCTCTATCTGTTTACTGCTGTGATCAGTCACTCTAAGCCTGGGTCAAACATCCCATACATCTACTCCAAGTGTTTGACAGATAGACACACTATAGGAAAACAGTGAAGTAACCCCACACACACACACCTATCCATAAACACACATAAAAAAAAAGGAACATGTATGGCTCTGGGAATGTTAAAAAGTAGGGCAGTACATTATTTTGTTTTACTTGGAAAATAGATGTGGCTTGAATGAGATTATGTGGGCTGCAGAAAAAAATGCTGAAATCACATAATTCCTACCAAGGCTTTAGTTGTGTCTACATTATGTGTTTCCATTGTCACCACAACAAAGGAAACAAAATGGATGAAAAAGAATGATTCTTCATTGTCATCACATAGGGGATTTGCATGTTCTTGTCACAAAGTCCTTAAATACCTTTGTCAAAACACTTGAGCTAATCTGTGAGTGTTTATGAGTACACACCGCAGAGACAGAGACAGAGATAGAAAGCTGCTGTTTTTAAGTGAGTCGTGGGCAAGGGTCATGTTCAGAGAGACAAGGAGTGTTTACTATGAGACCCCCCTAGTGACCTGAACATCTCTAATTTTGCATTAGCAAATTGGACAGAGATAGATCTCCTGGACAGCTTGAGTTCCTGTGTTCTCATTACCCATAGTCCCCTGCTCCATGGGCATGTTGAACATGTTCCATCAGCCTCCTTACTTTGTCCTGATTATTATTTACCCTCTGCTGGTTCCTCCCAGATTAATGTGAAGTGCTAAATGAAATGACAAGCAGCAATTTATATTACATTACCCAACACTCCTGGATGGAGAGTAGATATGCAGAATGCGTCTGGACATGTATACATATGCGCACATACTGAAGTGATGCATGCATATGAATGAATGAATGAATACACAGGGTAGCACACACACAGTCACACGCACGCGCGCGCATGCATGCACACACACACACACACACACACACAGCCATCCATCTCTCTGATGTGGTTGTGTGGTTGGGGGGAAGGGAAGGCGGGGGGAGGGTACAGACCGGTTCGTGAAGGACCAAAAGAAGGAAAGCAGATTCGAGTCTCGCGTCGGGAGGAGCAGAAAGATCTCGTCTATCCAGCTATTATATCTCTTCTCTAGCGCATCGCTCTATCTATCTCTCTCATCGCTCTCCTCTCTCTCTCTCTCTCTCTCTCTCTCATCTCTCTCTCTCTCTCCATATATATAAGAGCAAGTGTTCATAATGTTTTGTACACTATATATATATATATATTTCTACTATTTTCTACATTGTATAATAATAGTGAAGACATCAAAACTATGAAATAACACATATGGAATCATGTAGTAACCAAAAAAGTGTTGGGGTACTGTGTGTAGATTGATGAGGAAATAAAACAATTTAATCAATTTTAGAATAAGGCTGTAACGTAACAAAATGTGGAAAAAGTGAAGGGGTCTGAATACTTTCCGAATGAACTGTATGTTGCTGCGTAAGTAGCATTTTGCTGTGTGTGTGTATGACTGTGATTCTGTGTGTGTGTTTGTGCTTGCATGGTGTGTGTGTATGTGTGTGCCGTCCTCATTGTCTGATGATATGTATTGTTGTGTACAGGGTCTCCCTGGACCCCCAGGTTCCTCCGGCCCCCCGGGCAGCCCCGGAGAAGCAGGAGAAAGGGTGAGTGACAAGGACCACAAACACATCACATAGCAACTGTTTCAATAAAACCAAAAGGTATAAATCAAGGTATTGATATACAGCAAGGTATCAATCAGTCACCACCATTACCTGTGGTGACTGAACACCTATAAAAGTTTAGTCCAGGTAAATTATGCCAGGAATACAAATGTGTCAGGTTTTGACAAAACTTGTACATGTGTACATTTTACCTTGTTGGAGTAAATCCCCCACCCCCTTCTCTATCTCTCTGTCTCAGGGTCCTAATGGTCGTGCTGGTCTTCCTGGTGCTGATGGTCTGCCAGGACCTCCAGGGACTGTCCTCATGCTGCCTGTAAGTAAATACTCTTATACTACTAGTTCTAGAATACACTGACCTAGAATAATGTCCCCATGCTGCCTGTAAGTAAATAACATTATCTGACACTTCAAGAATAGACAGATATAGATCAAGAACATGAACCGTGTCTAATATTCAGTAATAACACCTGTATGTTTATGCACGTGTACGTTTATAATTGTATATACTATGTTGGCTTGTTGGCTATTGTGTGTATGTATTTGTCTTTGTCTGGCAGACTCTCTTCTAATTCTTCCATCCTAATCATGTCCCTTTCTGTAACGCTGTTCTCAAGCTGTCTGCACTTCAGACAAGGCTAATCCTCTCTTCTCTTCATTGCATTATCCAACCCTTTATTTCGTAGAATGCTGTTAATATCGAATCAGAGTTCTGTGGGGTTTGGGTCACAGTGTCCTGACCTGTGTATGAAGTTAGCTATGTGTGATGTGTGTTTTATTGTGTCGGAGGGGTTTAGAGATCTCTGTTCTGGAATGCAGGGAGGGAGTCTCCTTCTGAATCAAATACTCTTCCTCTCTGGTCCTGCCCCATAAATAGATAATCCAATCAGAGAATGCTCTGCTATAGGTCAGCACTCTAGCACCTCCTAGTTGAAGCTTTAGGAGGCTGTGGTTCCGCTGTCATTCAGACTCACTCTCTTCCCTATACCTTGTCCCTCATTTCCCCTCTCTTCTCCCCTTCTTACTAATGAGATAACTACCTCACACTACTCCCCAATCCCCAGCCCCCAGCCGCCACCTTCCTCTTGTCTTCAGACTCCAGCCCAATTGACAGATATAGGAGTCTTACAGGAAGTCCTCCAGCCTCAGACAGGAAGTAGAGTAGGTCTAAGTGTTCCTTCCTGTGATCACAGCTGCTATGGCTAAAGTGAATAACTAGCCTTCCTGTTTCTTCTGCTGCTGAGTCTTCTGCTTTACTCCTGCTGCTGATGCAGCTGCTGAGTGTGATGACTTGTCCAGATGTCCTGCTGAAGTCTCAGGAGACCGCTGAGCGGAGAGAGCCGTCTAGGAAAGCTGTGTGTGTCAGGCCAACGTGTCTGGACATGAACTTAGCCTAGTCTGGTCAAGGTGCAACAGTAAAACACAGGACCTTTTAAATGTGGTCCTTTTGTTAAAACATAATGAGAGCTTACATTTTAGTAATTTAGCAGACCCTCTTGTCTAGAGCGACTTACAGTTAGTACATCTTAAGATAGCTAGGTGGGACAACCACATGCCTTATAACTCAGCCTTATAGCTATGCATTATACCTTTTTTTATTAGGTGTAGTTGTGAACAATAGCCATATCAACACATTCAATCGAATCGTCTAATCGGCCAAATATAGGTATGTTTGATTGTGGAGAGTTGGATAGTGTGCTTGGAAGTTAGGCAGTAAGACCCTATTTTTGTGCCCCAGGTTTCTGATCGGTCACATTCTCTCGCTCGCTCTCTCGCTCTCTGGGCATGGTTAGATTTTCTGTGTCATGGTTTGGTTTGATTGAGAGTGGTGGAATGGTGAGGCTCTCCAGGGACATTGTGATTTTTATTTAGTTTAGTTTGTCCCTGGTATTGTTACACTAAATTTGGTGCTGGCAGAGCATTTTGTGCACCCTGGGACTGTATTATGGAGGAATTTCCAAAGTGTATCTCACAGTTTACCTGGGAGAGAGGGAGACCGGGGGAGGGAGAGAGAGAATGTAGTAGTGAGAAAAAAAAGGGTAAACTGGGTAAGATGAAGCGAGAGATCAAAAGAACGAGAGAGAGAGAGAGAGAGAGAGAGAGAGAGAGAGAGAGAGAGAGAGAGAGAGAGAGAGAGAGAGAGAGAGAGAGAGAAAAGGGGAGAGAGAGAGAGAGAGAGAGAGAGAGATCAACTTTGAGGTTTACTGGGAAGAAAGGGGAAAGACTGACAGTTGTCAAGATTGACAGAGAAAAATATTATGAAAGATAGCCTAGCTAGAGAGATGTCACTGTGTTGAAGAAAGTGAGGTTTGCCAGCTTCATGCAATCCTGTGTTCAATATGATTTTTTCCCTATATACATAATAACAAGGTCACGGTTGTGGTACAAACCCTCCCCACTGTTGTGTTATTCAGTCCAACAGTAACAGCAACAGAAACACATCTCTATTGGATGATTCAACTCCAGATGTTGGTAAAGAAAATCCTGGTTGCACTACGCACATGTCACCACTAGATGCCAGTATAGGCATGTGGATGGGGAAAAGGACCATAGCTAAGTATAAGGTTTTTGCAACTGAGTAGTTTTAATGCAAGACAAGCCTGAATTTGAATGTATGTTTTTTTAGAATTGCTTTTTTTGAATAATACATATTTTGATTTATTTAGACATTATTTTTGAAGATGAGCTATTTTAGCCTGTAAGCTGACTTGACATTTTCTTAACCCGTTGGGGTCTCTATTATATTCTTACTCTCTGCCTTGTCTGTCTCTTTGTCCATGTACCTGTATCTGCTTGCGCTGAACTTTCCTCATCTGTGTTGCCAGAGATGGACAGGGGTTTCATCCCACTGGGCACAGACGTCAGTTCAACGTCTAGTTTCATTTTCAAGTTTCAAGTTTTAATGTCACGTGCACAAGTACAGTGAAATGCCTTTCTTGCAAGCTCCAAACCCAACAATGCAGTAATCAATATCAATGTAGCACTAAAAATAACATCAGGTAGAACAAAAACATGAGAAATAAAAACAAGAAATAAGAAGAACACAAGAAAGTATGAAGCTATATACAGGGTCAGTTCCAGTACCATATTTACAATGTGCAGGGATACTGGAGTGGTAGAAGTAGATATGTATAGGGGTCAGGATATATGATAAACAGAGTAGCAGTAGCGTAAATTATGATTGTATGTGAGTGTGCGTGTGTAGTCAGTATAAATGTGTATGCATGTTATGTGTGTGTGTTGGAGAGTCCATGTGTGTGAGTGTGCATAGAGACAGTGCAAAAATTAAAATGTAATACAAGTCTGTGTAGCCATTCTGTTAGTTATTTAGCAGTCTTATGGCATGGGGATAGAAGCTGTTCACGAGCCTGTTGGTGTCAGACTTACCGACCCTCTGTAGCGCCATAGAGGGCGGTGCTGTTGCTATACCAAGCAGTGATGCAGCCAGTCAAGATGCTCTCAATTGTGCAGCTGTATACCTTTTGAGGATCTGAGGGCCCATGCCAAACCTTTTCAACCTCCTGAGGGGGAAGGGGCGCTGTCGTGCCTTCTTCATGACTGTGCGTGTGTGAGTGGACCATTTAAAGTCCTCAGTGATTTGGTCACCGAGGAAACTTGTAGCTCTCGACTCTGTTGATATGGATGGGGGCATGCTGTTTCCTGTAGTCCACAATCAGCTCCTTGGTCTTGCTGACGTTGAGGGAGAGGATGTTGTCCCGGCACCACACTGCCAGGTCACTGACCTCCTCCTTGTAGGCTGTCTAATTCTTTCCGGTGATCAAGCATACCACTGTCGTGTAGTCAGCAAACTTGATGATGGTGTTGGAGTCGTGCGTAGCCACGCAGTCGTGGGTGAACAGGGAGTACAGGAGTGGACTAAGCACACACCCCTGTGGAGCCCCTGTGTTGAAGATCAGCGTGGCGGAGGTGATGTTTACATTTTTACATTTTAGTCATTTAGCAGACGCTCTTATCCAGAGCGACTTACAGTTAGTGAGTGCATACATTTTCATACTGATGTTGCCTACCCTCACCATCTGGGGTCGACCCATCAGGATCCTTTCAGAGGGAGGTGTTCAGTCCCAGGGTCCTAAGCTTGGTGACGAGCTTGGAAGAGACAATGGTGTTGAACGCTGAGCTGTAGTCAATGAACAGCACTCTCACATACTGTAGGTATTCCTCTTAGCTAGGTGGGCGGGGCAGTGTGGAGTGCAATTGAGATTGCGTTGTCTATGGATCTTTTTGGGCTGGGTCTTCCTTTGTAATCTGTAATAGACTGTCCCCTGCCACATGTGTAATAAGATTCCACCTATATTGTCCTTTTGCTCTTTTGACGACTGCAGAGACTTCCTGTACTTGTTCCTGTCCTCAGCTGTAGCCTCATGGTTGTCTGCAATAGCCTTGTGTGCGGTAGCCCTGTCCTTTAGTTTAGCGCCAACCTCGGTGTTAATCCAGGGCTTTTGATTGGGGAAGCAGTGAACCTTCACTGTGGGGACAACGTCGGCCATGCATTTACTTATGAGCCCGGTGACGGAGGTGGTTAGCTTAGTTTTCATTTACATAGCTTAACTTAGTTTGGAATTACGTTTGGTTGAGTTGTCAACTAACGTGAATTCAACGTGAAATCAGCAAAACATTTCACCACGTCATTGGATTTAGGTTCAAAGTTGGGTAAAAAAGACAAAATGACCTTATGTTGATGACTTTTTGCACATCCAATCGCGTTGATTCAACATAATCACATAGATTTTTTTGGTTGAAATGATGTTGAAACAACGTTGATTCACCCCATTTTTGCCCAGTGGGATGGGTCTGATTCTTGGTTCTGAGTTCTGCTTTTCTCCTCAGTTCCGGTTCAGTTCTGGAGGAGACTCTGGACAGAAGGGACCTCAGGTGTCTGCTCAGGAGGCCCAGATGCAAGCCATCATGCAACAGGCCAGGGTAAGGATTACACACACGCACACACACACACACACACACACCATTTTGTATCTCTCTTACAGTGCTGTTTTCTCTCTCCAGCTGGCGATGCGCGGTCCTACTGGCCCTATGGGTTTGACTGGTAGAACTGGTCCTCTGGTATGTACCAAAGTCTTCCTCAGTTTCCCCTCACACACACACACAAACACACACCCCTGTCACAGACACAGCCTGAGGAAAAATAATAATGCTCATAGTTGATAAGATCCTATTAAATTGTAATTCAGATGCTACAAAAATAATAGTGTTTGGACTGTGGCCTGATCTGGGTCTACCATGACCTTTGTGTGACCTTTGTGTTTGTCCTCCTCCCAGGGTTCTCCAGGTGTGTCTGGACTGAAGGGAGATTCTGGAGAGTCCGGTCCTCAGGTAAGACAGATGGAAGGTTCTAGACGACTAGAACCACTGAAGGTTCTATACCACTAAAACCACTAGAACAACTATCCTGTCATTACCTGAGTTCAGGGCTATGCTATAAACACAACTTACTTTGGTTATTTTATTAGGGCTCATTTTGGGGGGGATTCTGTGGTAGGGTTCTCTTGTTGGGTTCTCCAGTAACATTCTTGATTGTTTCAGGGACCTCGTGGACCAATGGGTTCTCATGGACCCACTGGGAAGCCTGGCAGAAGGGTAAGTGTAATTGGGAGTCTTGCACAGGAATTTTAGTTTGGCGTGCAGATTAGGATTGTTTTGAATGTATTGTATCGCTCTTGTGTTGTATGTTCACGCTGACTACTTCCTGCTGACCTCTTGACAGGTTCCCCTCGCAAAAGGTTTCTAACCTCAAAGGTCTTTACTGGTTAAATAAATGTTAAATAAAAAATGAATAAATAAAAAGGATTGTGCCCTTCAGGAAGCAGGGTGAAGTGGGTGAATTGTAAGTGTAACTTTTGATGGGTGTTGTAATGTCTATATATTCTGTGTTTCCAGGGACGTGCTGGATCTGATGGAGCCAGAGGCATGCCTGGTCAGACCGGAACCAAGGGAGACAGAGGGTTCGATGGTTTAGCCGGACTGCCTGGAGAGAAGGGACAAAGAGTAAGTCACACCCCTTTAAAAAAAAAATCGACATTGTATTTTCTAGTCCAGTGTATGTGTGTCTTTGCCAGTGTGATTGTCTGTGTGTGTGTGTCACTGATCTGTATTATGTCGGTTCATTTAGGGTGAAGCTGGACCCCATGGACCTCCCGGACCCACAGGAGAGGATGGAGAGAGAGTAAGCACCACCACACGTCCTATCTCCCTCCCGACATCTCTTATCATCTCTACCCAATTTCTATCGCTCTCTATTTCTCCATCCTCCCACTCTGTGTGTGTGTGTGTACTCGTCCGCAAGTAAGTATGTCCGTGTGGTGTGTGTGTGTGTGTGTCCATTTGTGTGATTAGTAAGTGTGTGTGATCTAAGTGTCTGCCGTCAGTCATGTAAATTAGCCTCCTCCGCACACATCTCTCATCTCACACCATCACTCACTCCCCACTTGACTCAACCTACTGCACTACAGAAAATGTAGTGTACATCTGTCCTCTCCTCCTTTCTGCTTCTTTCATACCTACTCTCTCCTCTACTCCAACCTCCCACTTCCTGTTCTGATCATGAAACTTCATGTCTTCAGGGAGACGATGGAGAGATCGGGCCACGGGGTCTGCCTGGTGAGCCAGTAAGTGTTGACCTTTTTAAGATGTCCACCACCTTGTCATTGTGACACTTACATCTCAATAAAGCATGTGTTGACATATACATTCTAGAAACAGGGTTTGTACATAAAGTCCAGCTTATGGTATATGTACACAGTTTTTTTGTACACAGGTTTAGTTACTTAGCTCGCTACCGTATATATGAATCTCAGAGGGTAGATTACTCTTGTTCACAGCCTGCTGTCCTCATGGCTGGTGGACAGGCTCCTATATGTCTACGGACAAGCTTCCCTTCCTCTCTGACAGGAATTCCCCTGTGGAGAGGAGAAATGAGACAGGCAGAGAGGAAGAGCGTTAGAGGAAGAAAAAGACTGGGAGAGAATCATTAGTGGTAAATTGTGTGGTGCAGTATTTCAGACACACCACCAGGGGGTGGTACACCACTTGTTTTCTCAGACATACTTGCTGTGAGAGGAAAGCACATTGAGCTATGGCACTACGATACAACTGAGAGCATTGAAAAGAGCAGACATCAAAGAATAGTGAAATCAATCTAGGATGGTACAGAGAGATTCAAGAAGCCTCAAGCACGCTTTAGATGAAAATCCATTATTCATTGTTGTGACAAGCTATTTTATAAACATAATTTATCTACATTTATCAAAATTCTATATTTATTTGATAACTTTTGAAAAGGATCATGGTGTTGATGTTGTTTGAAACATATTTTGATAAATTGTTTCTCTCTCTCTCCAGGGACCTCGTGGTTTGCTGGGACCAAAGGGGCCTCAGGGACCTCCCGGACAGCTTGTGAGTTTAGAACGCACGCACGCACACACACACACACACATGCGCGCTCGCGCAAGCACACACACACACACACACACAGTCACACACACTTTCATTTCACACTCAAATTCAGATACAGATTTAGCAGATACATCATCCCCATAGAGGGAATTCATTTCTCCAGCTCATAGCAAAACGAACAAAAGACAGTACAAACAAAACAAAAATGATGTTTTATTGTCACATACACCGAATAGGTGCAGTGAAATGTGTTGTTTTACAGGGTCAGCCATAGTAGTACGGCTCCCCTGGAGCAAATTAGGGTTAAGTGCCTTGCTCAAGGGCACATCGACAGATTTATCACGACACCCACAGGGAAATACCACATACAATACCTCAACTACATCACAGGAGGTTGGTGGTACCTTAATTGGGGAGGACGGGCTCTTGGTAATGGCTGGAGCGGAATTTGTGGGATGGTATCAAATGCATCAAAAACATGGTTTCCATTTGCTTGATGCCATTCCATTTGCTCCGTTCCAGACATTATTCTGAGCCGTCCTCAGCAGCCTCCTGTGCACTTCATACATCAGATGATAAGAAGGGCTATGGCTGTAGATATGAAGCTATTTATGTCTCCCACTTTACCTTCTCTAGATCATTTGATGTGAGGGAAATCTCCCCTTTTTCCGATAGCATGTTGGTTCAGATTGGTGAAGGTAATTGATATGGTAAAGTGCACCCAGAAGACTGCAGGAAACTCTACCTACGATGTATATCTCAGTCTATCACTGAAGCACTCCCCATCTTTATATCCTTATTCTCTGTGTATTAACCTGAGTGTGTGCTTTATGCATTGAATAGAGGCTTCATCTCATCTGACTGTGTGTTGCAGGGTGTGACTGGAATGGATGGCCACCCTGGACCCAAAGGAAACATTGTAAGTACTGTAGCAGTGTGTAGAAACGATCAGCTCAATTTGCTTCTGGCACACACCTCTCACACACACACTGTCTCGATCTATCCCCCAGGCTCAAACCATTACCTTACCTTGCTTCCAGTCTATTTCCCCATCAAATGCACACTACTGTTGTTGCATAAAGACTCATTTACTTACTCCCACACTCCCACATTGTGAAGACTCTCTTGTCATCTAATGAAGAATAGACCGAGTGTACTGAGTCCTGTTAGAGTCAAGTCCTCAATGGCCATCTGTGTTATTCCGGGACCATTTTGTAGGAGCAGTGTATCCGTAATGAGAGAATGCCTGGCTGGAGAAGACAGTGTCTCCGCTGGGGATGCTCCAATTAGGGAGAGAGATGGAAGATCCACAGTCTTTTCCCAGCCGCTCCGAACAGGGAACGTAATTGATTGTCAATTATCTGGGAGGCGAGGTGTTTGAGTTTGAGGTTCAGCAGTTACTTTCATTAGGAGAGAGAGTGTGTGTGTGGGAGGTGTTTATGTGTTTGTTTGAAAGAGAGAGGTTGAGAGCGAGAGGTGTGTGTGTGTGTGCATGCGTGCATGCGTGTGTGTGTGTGTGTGTGTGTGTGTGCGTGTGTGTGTGTGTGTGTGTGTGTGTGCATGTGTGTGCGTGTGTGCGTGTGTGTGTGTGTGTGTGTGTGTGTGTGTGTGTGTGTGCGCGTGTGTGTGTGTGTGTGTGTGTGTGTGTGTGTGTGTGTGTGTGTGTGTGTGTGTGTGTGTGTGTGTGTGTGTGTATGCGTGCATGTGTGTTCCCTCCAGCTAGAAAAGGCTGTGTGGTAGAAAGTAATAATGTAGTGATATTGACTCAATCAAGTCCACTCACTACACTACATTCTTCATTAATTTATACTCAGCTATATTTGGGTGCCGGTATTTAGTCGTCTACCTCTTAAACCTGCTCTGTCCACATATATCAGACTTACACCTAGTGATGTCCTGTGGATGAATGTAAACTAGGTGTTTTCTCCTTCATAGGGACCCCAAGGAGAGCCTGGCCCCAATGGACAGCAAGGAAACCCTGGTGCTCAGGTCAGTATTACATTTACATCATTTAGCAGACGCTCTTATCCAGCGCGACTTACAAATTGATCATCTTAGGATTCCTATTGGACAGGGTAGTATCCCGAGTGGCGCAGTGGTCTAAGGCACTGCATCGCAGCGCTAGCTGTGCCACTAGAGATCCTGGATCGAATCTTGGTTCTGTCGTGACTGGGAGACCCATGGGGCAGCGCACAATTGGCCCAGGGTAGGGGAGGGAATGGCCGGCAGGGATGTAGCTCAGTTGGTAGAGCATGGCGTTTGCAATGCCAGGGTTGTGAGTTTGATTCCCACGGGGGGCCAGTATGAAAAAATTGGTATATATTGAAACATTTTGTATATCTAACTGTAAGTCGCTCTGGATAAGAGCGTCTGCTAAATGACTAAAATGTAAAATGTATGAGATTACAGCCTTCATTTGGTTTGTCATTGTATGGTCATGCCCAATATGGCATTTTGACATTAGTCCATTGGTTGGATTGTCTGTCACTCTTGGACGTTCCTGTCTCATCCTCCAATGAGTTTATATTGACAATGTCCTTCCTCTCTCTCTCTACAGGGACTTCCAGGTCCTCAGGGAGCCATCGGGCCCCCAGGAGAGAAGGTAGCCCTGGCCCCTGGCCACTGAAACATATAACTACACCATTGTGTGATGTGAACAGTATTGTGACCCTACTGTCTTATACTCCACTGTATGTCTGTCTGTCATCTGAGTATTTCTGACTTCCCCTCTCTCCTCCTCTGCTCTCCTCAGGGTCCTACCGGAAAACCAGGACTGGCAGGAATGCCCGGAGCTGACGGACCCCCGGTAAGTGTGTGAACTAACTATCCAGAACACACTACCCACCTCCTCGCAGGGAACATCTGTGCTATCGCCAGGTGGTCCTTGGAAGATGGCAGGTGGTGGGTGGGAGAGAGAGAGAGGAATGTGTGTGCATGTGACAGACAGCGTGAGAAAGTGAGTGTGAGAAAGAGTGGAAGTAAGAAAGACGGAATGGAAGAGAGAGATAGCTAGATGAGAGCAGCGTCTGTCGCTGTATTCCCCCAAGAAGCCCCATGATCCTCCTTGGCTTTGATATCTATGTAGAGTGGTAATGCCACTCTCTCCCTCTTTCATCTCCCTTCTTCTCCCTCTCTCCCCTTTTCTCTGTTCTATTAGTCTCCACCCCCCCCCCCTCCACCCCCCTCTCTCATCTCTGAAACCATATAATTTGATAGTTATGCCACTCTCTTCCCCTCTTTTTTCGGTCGACTTCTATTTTCTGCCACTTAAGTCTCCATCCATCCCTCTCTCTCTCTCTTTCTCTCCTTTCTGAAACCCTATCAGTGGACAGCTTTGTTATCAGCTTTGTCATCTCAAGGGAACATAATCAATTTCCCTCAGACCTTTTTCACTCAACATGCTAAATAGTGTGTGTGTGTGTGCTGTGTGTGTGTGTTCTTCCAAGAGTATTGAAACTGAAAACTCTTTTCTTAAAGAGGTTCTATAATATCCCATAGTGCTTGTAAAATACTGGGCATTAAAGAGACATCCCAAATGAGATTGAACTCTGAAGGCTTTTATTCCAAATGGCCTTTTCCACTATCATACAGTACATCCTGGCTTTGTTTTATTGTGTAATAGGAGTAAAATATTTATGATCGAATGCTAATGATCCTGGGTCTACTGTTAATTTTGCTGTTAATAATTCATAGGGTCACCCTGGAAAGGAAGGACCCAATGGAGAGAAAGGACATTTGGTAAGCTTCTTCTCTCTTTATAGGTATTATGTTCTTGTTCATTATCTTTTTTATAGGATCTGTTTCTCCCTTTGTCTTTTACTTGTAGTTCTTGCTCTCTCTTTCTCTCTGATTCTCTCTCTTTTCTCTCTCTCTCTGTATCGCTCTCTCTGTATATCTCTCTCTCTTCTCACTCACTGTATTTTTTGCTCGTATTCTTCACCTGGATTTGCATATAGAATTTACATTAATGTAAATGACTCTCTGTAACAAGCTTCTATCCACACATGTATCATCCTGCAGGGTCCCAGTGGCCCTCAAGGCCCAATCGGTTATCCCGGGCCCCGAGGCGTGAAGGTGAGTTTTACGCCCCAACGTCTCATCTGCCCCATGGCCTAATTCACTCCTAATACACTACCCCATCCTTAGAGCACATTATATCAATGGAACTCTCCCATTGGTCTGATCTGTCATTAGGTAAAGCAGTATAATTCTTAGTCCCACTGTCTTTTGAATGCTATTGTATAATGAACTGAAACTGAACTTAGTATGCATTAAAATAGGCCTAGTTAACGGTTATGCTGTTTCATAATATTAGAGTAGGATTTTGGACTGAACAAAACCCCATCTGTGACATGCGCATGGAGTCAATATTACAGCAAATCACAAACCTGTTTTCCCCCAATTACCTTCTGTTACCAGAAGTACTTATTTAGGCTCATATATCCACACGACAAGTGGGTAAACCAGCGCAGCTAAAGTAGTTTGAGCCCATTGATTAAGTGTTGAGGTTAATCTATGTAAAGTTCATCATAACTCAGTTGAGAGGGTCAGGGTTGATGGGTCGGGTGGCTGAGCTAAGCATGCGTGGCTGTAGCTCACACTCACACTCTCGCTATGGCCCTGGGAGTGATCACACTGCCTCTTGACCCTCAGTAATAACTAGCTGATTTAAGCAGAGACACATGAAGGCAAGAGGACTCACATCAAATGGCCCTTGCAGAGAGGGGTTAAGGGGCCAAATGAATTACACCACCCACTGATTGTGTGTGTGAGACTGGTGCATGCTTATGGCTCATAGCTCTTGGCGTGTGCTCTCCAAAGCGTTCCCCACGGATAGTGTTAGAGAGAACAGGCTCTGTGACTGATCCTGCTTTAATGAAAGGACAACCAATGGGATAAAAGATAGATAAAGGAGGAGGATGCTATTTGTTTCCAGCGCCACAGGGTACCATCAATTCTGCTCCTATACTATGAAGTTCCACCCCAAGCTAATAGCTTTGTTATCATAGAGCTCCAATCGTTATCATTCTTTATAGAGTTTAATGAGACATGGCATATTTACAGTTGAAGTCGGAAGTTTACATACACTTAGGTTGGAGTCATTAAAACTCGTTTTTCAACCACTCCACAAAAGTCTTGTTAACAAACTATAGTTTTGGCAAGTCGGTTAGGACATCTACTTTGTGCATGACACAAGTAATTTTCACAACAATTGTTTACAATTATTTCACTTAGAATTCACTGTATCACAATTCCAGTGGGTCAGAAGTTTACATACACTAAGTTGACTGTGCCTTTAAACAGCTTGGAAAATTCCAGAAAATGATGTCATGGCTTTAGAAGCTTCTGATAGGCTAATTGACATCATTTGAGTCAATTGGAGGTGTACTCTGGATGTATTTCAAGGCCTACCTTCAAACTCAGTGCCTCTTTACTTGACATCATGGGAAAATCAAAAGAAATCAGCCAAGACCTCAGAATTTTTTTTGTAGACCTCCACAAGTCTGGTTCATCCTTGGGAGCAATTTCCAAACGCCTGAAGGTACCACGTTCATCTGTACAAACAATAGTACGCAAGTATAAACACCATGGGACCACGCAGCCATCATACCTCTCAGGAAGGAGATGCGTTCTGTCTCCTAGAGATGAACGTACTTTGGTGCGAAAAGTGCAAATCAATCCCAGAACAACAGCAAAGGACCTTGTGAAGATGCTGTAGGAAATAGGTACAAAAGTATCTATATCCACAGTAAAACGAGTCCTATATCGACATAACCTTGATAGGCCGCTCAGCAAGGAAGAAGCCACTGCTCCAAAACCACCATAAAAAAGCAAGACTACGGTTTGCAACTGCACATGGGGACAAAGATTGTACTTTTTGGAGAAATGTCCTCTGGTCTGATGAAACAAAAATAGAACTGTTTGACCATAATGACCATCGTTATGTTTGGAGGAAAAAGGGGGTCCCTGCAAGCTGATGAACACCATCCCAACTGTGAAGCACAGGGGTGGCAGCATCATGCTGTGGGGGTGCTTTGCTGCAGGAGGGTCTGGTGCACTTCACAAAATAGATGGCATCATGAGGAAGGAAAATGATGTGGATATATTGAAGCAACATCTCAAGACATCAGTCAGGAAGTTAAAGCTTGGTCGCAAATGGGTCATCCAAATGATGAAAGAAATAAAAGCTGAAATAAATCATTCTCTCTACTATTATTCTGACATTTCACATTCTTAAAATAAAGTGGTGATCCTAACTGACCTAAGACAGGGAATTTGTGCTAGGATTAAATGACAAAATTGTGAAAAACTGATATTAAATGTATTTGGCTAAGGTGTATGTAAACATCCGACTTCAACTGTAGTTATCTTTCAGCCTTAGTTGAGTGTGTTAGTATTTTAAGCATTCAGATTAAGTTCAGTGTTGATACTAATGAAGCCCCAGTTGGTAGAGTGTGGTTGATGTTGGCTGAAAGCACCGTGCTTCAGACATACTTGCTCTCTAATCTCTGTCTCTCCCTGTCTCTCTCTCCCTCTCACCCCCTCTCTCTCTCTCTCTCTCTTTCGCTCTGTCTCTCTCTCTCTCTCTCTCTCTCTCTCTCTCTTTCGCTCTCTCTCTCTCTCTCTCTCTCTCTCTCTCTCTCTCTCTCTCTCTCTCTCTCTCTCTCTCTCTCTCTCTCTCTCTCTCTCTCTCTCTCTCTCTCTCTCTGTCTCTCTGTCTCTCTCTGTCTCTCTCTGTCTCTCTGCCTACCAGGGAGCCGATGGTGTACGAGGCCTGAAAGGAGGAAAGGGCGAAAAGGTACAAAATTAGCATGTGTGTCTGATCTCTCCCTTCTGTTAGAGTGCTCAAATAAAAAATGCATCAGTCACACATGATAATAATGATAGTGATGATGGTTCTAACAATGATGGTGATGATGAAGGTGATTATGATTATGAAAAACCAAAGTTCCAAAGGCTGGGCCTAATATTGTGTATAAGAGGTCATACAATACGTTTTGTAGTGATTCCTATGTTGTAAATGTGATGTAAATAATATTTGTTGGTCCGTGGTGTGTAATGAGGAGCAAACAGACACTGCACTTGACACATTTATGAAATTGCTTATTCCAGTTACTAATAAGCATGCACCCATTAAGAAAATGACTGTAAAAACTGTTAAATCCCAGTGGATTGGTGAGGAATTTAAAAAATGGTATGGTTGAGAGGGATGAGGCAAAAGGAATGGAAAATAAGTCTGGCTGCACAACCGATTGGCAAATGTATAGCAAATTGAGAAATCATGTGACTAAACTGAATAAAAAGAAGAAGAAACTACACTATGAAACAAGGATAAATGACATAAAGAATGATAGGAAAAAGCTTTGGAGCACCTTAAATTACATTTTGGGAAAAAAGACAAACTCAGCTCCATCATTCATGGAATCAGATGGCTCATTCATCACAAAACCAACTGATATTACCAACTACTTTAATAATTTTTTCATTGGCAAGATTAGCAAACTTATGCATGACATGCCAGCAACAAACGCTGACACTACACATCCAAGTATATCTGACCAAATTATGAAAGACAAGCACTGTAATTTTGAATTCCGTAAAGTGAGTGTGGAAGAGGTGAAAAAAGTATTGTTGTCTATCAACTATGACAATCCACCGGGGTCTGACAACTTGGATGGAAAATTACTGAGGATAATAGTGGACGATATTGCCACTCCTATTTGCCATATTTTCAATTTAAGCCTACTAGAATGTGTGTGCCCCCAGGCTTGGAGGGAAGCAAAAGTCATTCCGTACCTAACAATAGTAAAGCCCCCTTTACTGGCTCAAATAGCCGACCAATCAGCCTGTTACCAACCCTTAGTAAACTTTTAGATATTTTTTTTGACCAGATAAAATGCTATTTTACAGTAAACAAATTGACAACAAACTTTAAGCATGCTTATAGGGAAGGACATTCAACATGCACAGCACTTACACAAATGACTGATGATTGGCTGAGAGAAATTGATGATAAAAAGATTGTGGGGGCTGTTCTGTTTGACTTCAGTGCGGCTTTTGACATTATTGATCATAGTCTGCTGCTGGAAAAATTTATGTGTTATGGCTTTAAACCCCCTGCTATATTGTGGATAAAGAGTTAACTGTCTAACAGAACACAGAAGGTGTTCTTTAATGGAAGCCTCTCCAACATAATCCAGGTAGAATCAGGAATTCCCCAGGGCAGCTGTCTAGGCACATTACTCTTTTCAATCTTTACTAATGACATGCCACTGGCTTTGAGTAAAGCCAGTGTCTATGTATGCGGATGACTCAACTCTATACATGTCAGCTACTACAGCGACTGAAATGACTGCAACACTTAACAAAGAGTTGCAGTTAGTTTCAGAGTGGGTGGTAAGGAATTAGTTAGTCCTAAATATTTATAAAACTAAAAGCATTGTATTTGGTACAAATCATTCACTAAACCCTAAACCTCAACTAAATCTTGTAATAAATAATGTGGAAATTGAGCAAGTTGAGGTGACTAAACTGCTTGGAGTAACCCTGGATTGTAAACTGTCATGGTCAAAACATATTGATACAACAGTAGCTAAGATGGGGAGAAGTCTGTCCATAATAAAGTGCTGCTCTACCTTCTTAACAGCACTATCAACAAGGCAGGTCCTACAGGCCCTAGTTTTATCACACCTGGACTACTGTTCAGTCGTGTGGTCAGATGCCACAAAAAAGGACATAGGAAAATTGCAATTGGCTCAGAACAGGGCAGCACGGCTGGCCCTTGGATGGCCCTTGGATGTACACAGAGAGCTAATATTAATGCATGTCAATCACTCCTTGCTCAAAGTGGAGGAGAGATTGACTTCATCACTACTTGTATTTATGAGAGGTATTGACATGTTGAATAAACCAAGCTGTATGTTTGAACTACTGGCGCACAGCTCGGACACCCATGCATACCCCACAAGACACGCCACAAGAGGTCTCTTCACAGTCCCCAAGTCCATAACAGACTATGGGAGGTGCACAGTACTACATAGAGCCATGATTACACAGAACTCTATTCCATATCACGTAACTGATGCAAGCAGTAAAATTAGATTTAAAAAACAGATACAAATACACCTTATGGAACAGCGGGGACTATGAAGCAACACAAAAATAGGCGCAGACACAAGCATACACACACACGATAGCATACACACTATACACACACGTACACATGGATTTTGTACTGTAGATATGTGGTAGTGGTGGAGTAGGGGCCTGAGGGCACACAGTGTGTTGTGAAATCTGTGAATGTATTGTAATAATAAAAAAATGTATGAACTGCCTTCATTTTGCTGGACCCCAGGAAGAGTAGTTGCTGCCTTGGCAGCAGCTAATGGGATCCATAATAAATACATAAAAATACAAATGGTATATGTTGCCAAAGCCCATAAATATCAGGCTGTCCTACTTCTCTTTGGTTAAATAAGATCTAGCATTTCTATGGCAACAGGGACCGCCAAAAGCAATTTTACCGGTGTGTGTGTGAGAGAGAGAGGGATGTGTGTTTTTTGTGTTCACACGTTTGTTTGTGAATGCCTTTGTGAGGGCGGATATGGCTTTTCACTGCTCTCCAAAACAAATTACATTCTCAACACCTTTTCTTTCTCCTGTTCCTTTCTTTCTCTCAGGGAGAAGATGGATTGCCTGGCTTCAAGGGAGATATGGGAATCAAGGGTGACAGGGTGAGGCATTTTGTTCGAGTTTTTTTTGTCAAATGCTGTCCACATATCTGGACGTTTCAGAACACATTTATATCCAACAGAGTATAAGCAAATACATTCATCAATCTGGCTGGGATTTAGTGTGCCTTTTGATAGGCTGATGATGAAGAAAAAACATTAGGCTAGTTGTCATTGGCTGATGATTTTGGCTAGTGCACAGTTGATCCTAATTTCTCTGGTCCAAAATGAGGTGACCTTTACTTAAACTGTTCGATTGTATTGATCCCCTACTGTCTCTCTGTCCCCCGATTGGCCCGAAGTCACTGTGACCGCTGAGTCAGTGTGGAATTATGGGTAATGAGCAAACACTGACCGAACGTCTCTGTTGCCAGTTCTGGGGGTGTGTGTGTGTGTGTGTGTGTGTGTGTGTGTGTGTGTGTGCGCGTGCGTGCGAGCTAGTGTGTGTGTGCTGTTTCCGTTTGCGTGTGTGTTTTCCTCTCAATCCCTCTCTTCCATCTCTCCAATTACCTCTTGACATCTATCCAACCTCTCTGAGATTAATAGAACAGAGAACTGGCAGGTAAAGATAGAAGTAGAAGCCCTCTCAAAACTAACAGTGTCAGTCAGAGATTTACGTTAAACTGTTCAAGTCACCTCAATACCCCTTGAACAGGGAGACACAAGGAGTAGCTCCCCTACTTTAAACACAATACCCTCAATCCCTGAACAGGCCATCTTGAGAGGAGTGGAGAGATAGAGAGCGAGAGAGGCAGAGAGAGAGAGAGCGAGCGACAGGGAGAAGAGAGAGAGAGAAATCGATGAGAGGAGCTTAAACCCCTTCAAAACAGAGAGAGAAAAGACAAGGGGCTTCTTTCTGTCTTCCTCTGGAGATGTAGCAGCCTCTGATGAAAGAGAGGGGGAAGAAAGGAGAAGAGAGAGGGATTTGAGAGAGCCCTGTGCTCGAGAGGAGAGGAGGCAGGAGGCTCCGGCATGGACCGGAATGTAATTGTCTCCTTGTGTTGCGTGCTTATGAGTGTGTGTGCGTGTTAGAGAGCGAGAGCTGAGTCTGCTTGATTAACTTTTTAGCATGAGTTAGAATGTGTGAGTGTCAAGCTGGAAGAGACAGAGTTTTTGTGATGACTGTGATGTGTGTGTGCATATGTAAGTGAGCGCATACGCGTGAAGTGTGTGTGTGTGTGTGCCTGCGAGTGTGTGTGACGGCGAGTGTACGGGGGACCGTTCATGGTCCACTGGGTCAGCACGGTAACGACTGGTTGTCAGAGCCAGTTTGTACCCTGCCGTTTAGAGTTGTGCTCTGCCTCATAGCAGCCTCAGCGCAGCACAACTAACCCACCAAAGGATGAATACACTTAAAGAGGGAGGAAATAAAAGTCCTCTTATATCACACAGTCAGCTTAACAGACAGACATACAGACAGCAGGGAAAATGGCCTCATTTTGATTCCTTAAGCAGTTACTGAGCATCAGAGACTGAGCTGCTAGACACTCACTGTCTGAAGGGATGGACCCGGAGGAGCAGGTGTCATCACTGAAAAAGTGACTGAAACGATGTGAGGGTGAGACGATGTCATGACTGAAAAAGTGACTGGAACAATCTGAGGATGATATTGCAGTTTGCTGTGCCTGTAAGAACAAGTGAATGACAGTGACTGGAATGATGTGGGTATGCTAGTGCATTCCAAAGGCCTGGACCTGGGAAGCAGGTGTCATGGCTCTATGATATGACATGACACGATACACTCGTAGAAAAAAAGGGTTCCAAAAGGGTTTCCTTGGCTGTCCCCATACGAGAATCCATTTTGGTTCCAGGTAAAACCCTTTTTGGGTTCCATGTAGAACCCTCTGCAACCAAAAACAGTTATTCAAAGGGTTCTCCTATGGGGACAGCCCAAACAAACTTTTAGGTTCTAGATATCACCTTTTTTCTGAGTGTAAGTCAAGATAGAAGATATGGTATGATTCGATTAGTAAATCAACCACATAGAATGCCACAATATGTGATTCTAGGATATGATACAACATGATACTCTGAGAAATAGTATGACACAATATGAGATGCCCCTGAAAACTCTGTAACCTGGTTATGTGTGTTATCCAGGGTGAGCTGGGACCTGCAGGACCCAGAGGAGAGGACGGACCTGAGGGGCCCAAGGGTCGCTCCGGTCTCCCTGGAGATGCTGGCCCTCTCGGACCTAACGGTGAAAAGGTGAGTCGTCTTTGTCCTTGTGACAAACTTCAAATACACTGTAAGTAATGGTGACCAACTCCTCATACACTGTAGAACCAAGTGTTTAGGATCTGAACACATATCGAAACATTTTTCTGTAACCATTTTTAAACACTGGAGAAGACAGGAAGATAGATGGAGGAGATACACAGGACTTAATTAATACTTAAACCCATGGCATACAAGCAAAATCACTTTGTGACAACTGTAGATGTACAAAAAGGCTTTATAAATAAATGTGTTTAATTGGTTGATTGATTGATTGATATACTGATCGTGACTTTGTTTTGTGATTTGTGTTCCTCTCTCTCAGGGCAAACTGGGTGTTCCAGGGTTGCCAGGATACCCAGGAAGACAAGGACCGAAGGTAAGTCCCCTTTTCCTCCCAGAATCCCTTTCTTTCTCTATCTTTATCACAGTGGACACTTCAAGGAGGCACATCTGAAGGCCCCTTGATTGAACATGGCGTTAGTGATGGACTGGTCTGACTGGCCAGCGGGGCACCTCTCTGACGCAGGCGGGGCGCAGGGCGGACATGTTTGAACCTCCCTGATCAAAGAGGGCAGGATTTAGCCATGCCTTTTAGTGTCAGACAGACGCCCACTGCCCGACCGCTACCCACAATGCATCACTTCTGCCTACAACAGCACTTTTACTTTACACCACTCAACGTCTTTGTTGCTCGCCTTTGATGAACCTGGGATTTAATCTTGTTTGCCTCTCTCTCTCTCTCTCTCTCTCCTCTCTCTCTCTCTCTCTGTCTCTCTCTCTCTGTCTCTCTCTCTCTCTCTCTCGATCTCTCTCTCTCTCTCTCTCTCTCTCTCTCCCTCTATCTCTCTCTCTCTCTCTCTCTCTCTCTGTCTCTCTCTCTGTCTCTCTCTCTGTCTGTCTCTGTCTCTGTCTCTGTCTCTGTCTCTGTCTCTGTCTCTGTCTCTGTCTCTCTCTCTCTCTCTCTCTCTCTCTCCCTCCTTCTTTTTATAAACACAGGGATCTCAGGGATTCCAAGGTTTCCCCGGAGCCAACGGAGAGAAAGGAACAAGGGTACGTCAGAGAAAAGCACACCTCTCAAAGTTCTAGCACTTAGTATTAGTATCCTTACGTTTGAAGTTATAGTTACATATCTACTCTACATACCTAGAAAACAACTCTGTGGATGTGTGAGCCAGCCCAGTGCATTTCACTTTGAAGTTTAGTATTCTATCCACCCATGAGAGTTTTGGATCAATACTGAATCAGATCAATGGAGACACGGTTTATTCTCTCTCTAACGCTAATTCAAAACACACAGAGAATTTTAGTCAAAGGGAAGAAGATTAAACCAAGGACAAAAAGACTGTTGTATTTCTTCTTCATCACCATCCTCACATAAGAGCATTGAAATGCGCCATAAAGGTAATTTATCACATTGTACGGTACTTGGCGCAATGTTCCATTTTCTTTTAACAGAGACGGGTCATTAGTTTGGTCTGGAGAGTAATGCTTTGTCACAAAGTGTGGAACAACGAACGGTACAATGTTGCTACAACATTAGACTTTATGAGGCAGGAACCTTAACGCTTCGACGTAGAGCGATGGTCCTCACATTAACATTAGTTTCATTGCTGTCGTTTGTTCATCGAAAACCCACACACAGCCTTAATCCCTTTCTTCATTAATTTGACATACAGTAAGGGAATACGGTCTCATATTGCTCTGAAATCATGCAAATATGTCTTATTATATAGCATTGTTTTGTCAATCTACCTCAATGTTCTCTCGCCCAATAACAGTTTTGAATATGTAAACCCATGTATCTAGTTTCATTATGAAAAATGGGGAGCTGTTTTCAAATTTAAAACTTATATAAACATCACTTTGCCTTTGTTCGCTCCTATGAGACAAATAAGAAGAAAGAGTCTTACCATAGACAGATGAATACATTATGTTTACATTTATGTCATTTAGCAGACTAGAGGGACCCAGAGCGAAGGTTGAATGAGGAAAAGGTCTAAATGTTAGTTGAAGTAGCCATGGTGACAGTGAGAATGGGACCTGTCTCTCTCTCTGAGTCACTTTAACTCTACCCACATGTACATATTACCTCAACTACCTCAACTAGCCGGTGCCCCCGCACATTGACTCTGCAACGGTACCCCCCTGTATATATAGCCTCCCTACTGTCACTTTATTTTACTGTATATATAGCCTCCCTACTGTCACTTTATTTTACTTCTGCTCTTTTTTTCTCAACACTTTTTTGTTGTTGTTGTTTTATTCTTACTTTTTTTGTTTAAAATAAATGCACTGTTGGTTAAGGGCTGTAAGTAAGCATTTCACTGCAATGTCTGCACCTGTTGTATTCGGCGCATGTGACCAATAAAATTTGATTTGATTTTATTTGATTTGATTTGATTTATCTAATGATTGCTACAGGTCTAGTTTATCTGATTGGAATGATAGGTCAGGGCGGACTCAAATTCATTACCATGACAATCTGTAACCTCTGACCTCTGTATTTGTTATGGTTCCTCACAGGGACTTGCAGGGAAGGCTGGCCCAAGAGGACAGAGAGGACCAACGGTAAGTCTGCTGCCTCTTTGACCTCCACTATCCACGGCGATACAGGTAACCATGACAACGGCGTGTCCGGGTGACACAGGTTATGGTTATTTACCTTGACCCAACAATATGAGGTGAATGAAAGGAGAACATCCTCTTAATGGTGAAGGATATCTTCAGAGGTTGTATCTACTTTATTGATATTCCTCCCTCCTCACGTTCCTCCTCTTATTCTTCCTCTCCTCCCAGGGACCTCGTGGAGAGAGGGGACCCAGGGGACCAACAGGAAAAGCTGGACCAAAGGTGAGTTAGAGTGCCTTCCAATATGACATGACTGATGTCACGCCTCACTATCATACAATGGTATGATTTTGTCTGTCATTGCCTGAGTCCATTCTGACTACTTCCTGTTTCCTTCCTGTCTCCCAGGGTACCTCTGGAAGTGATGGCCCCCCAGGACCTTCCGGTGAGAGGGTATGTACTGGAACATTCCTCACTCAAATACCTATTCAGCTATATCAATATGATCAATTTCCAATGATTGACTGTATCGTCTGCTTGTGTGTTTCAGGGTCTTCCAGGGCCTCAGGGACCAACAGGATTCCCCGGAACAAAGGGCCCACCCGTAAGACCCCAAAAAATAACAACACAACACCTGTACACACATAATAATGCCTTTCCTCTATTTCAGTCTGTAGTGTTTTAATTGTGGACTAGGCCTTTCTGAGACCCCGTCTGTACTATAAGTGCGTATGTGTAGCATTACTGAGGTTTTCTTTCTGTGTGTTTTTAGGGCCCCGCTGGGAAAGATGGTCTGCCTGGACACCCTGGGCAGAGAGGAGAGACTGTGAGTAAACACAGTGTTGTTGTAGTCCTGTCCCTGTGTCATTGACCAGAGTTTATACTCTCCTGAACCTTATACATACAACCTTCTTACCGCTCTTCTTCTCTCTTCTCCTCGCAGGGTTTCCAAGGCAAGACTGGCCCACCTGGACCCCCAGGAGTGGTCGGACCTCAGGTGAGTTCTGTCACACACACCACCACAATACTAACACACACACATTCCACTATATCATATCTCTCTGTGATACTGGGAGGAGAAACACACCCAATACAATACATTTCAGTTGACTGGCCTCGTCAACAAATAGACGTGTAGAGATAATGTGTGTACAGGAGTAGTAGCTCACTGATGAGCTGATAAGTAGCTGACTCACATTGTGTCTGATTAGAAGGAGATGATGAAAACCTGAAGTGTTCGGCCAAGTTACTACGATTATTTTTGATTGTGGGCAGGATGTGTAGGGTGTCACAAGAGTGTCATAAGGATGACTTGCAGGTGTCATAAGGCAGTCATAGTGAGTTTTAGCTGTGTTTGTTGTGCACCCAGAAGGGCTTTTCTCCTATCCGTATCTGGCTAGAGGTGACTGTCAGAGTGTCGTTTATCCTCTTAGATATTAGCACTAGGCTGTTCACTCATTATGCATGCTTAGTCAACAGCCATTTCCTCCCAAGAGCTTCTCTCCTAATGCTAATTCAAAACATGACATGCATTGATGCTATTATTCTGGCAGATGGATGACGCCTTCATGGAGTGACTAGCGATTACCGGGGGAGGGAGCGCTCTCACCAACTAATTCAAAAACATGCACATGGCTGTATGGCAAAACTGGAGACGACCGGAGTGATACGACGGTGGGGGTAGAGGACTCTAGACTACTAGAGAGCAGAGTATAGAAAGAGAGAAGAGAGAACCGAGTATACTGAGTATAATAATGGATCTCTCGTATACGTACGAATCTCTCTCTTGCTCTTCTCTCTGTCTCTTATCTTCTCTCTTTATCTCTCTCTTCTCTTCTTCTCTGTCTCTCTCTCTCTCTCTTTCTCTCTGTCTGTCTTTGTCTCTCTATCTCGCTTCTCTCTCTCTCTCTCTCTGTCTCTGTCTTGTTCTTGTTATTCTGTCTCTGTCTACTGTATCTGTTCTGTCTCTGTCTTGTCTCTTCTCTGCTGATCTCTCTCTCTCTGACTCTATCTGTGCTCTCTATCTCTCTCTCTGTCTGGTTGTCTCTCTCTCTCTCTCTGTCTTCTCTGTCTCTCTCTCTCTCTCTTCTATCTCTCTCTCTCTCTCTCTCTCTCTCTCTCTCCTTCCCTCTTTCTCTCTCTCTCTCTCTCCATCCACAGGGCCCCACAGGTGAGACTGGACCAATGGGAGAACGTGGCCACCCCGGACCCCCAGGCCCACCCGGTGAGCAGGGTCTTCCTGGATCTGCTGGTAAAGAGGGAGCTAAGGGTGACCCCGGTCCCGCTGGCCCGGCTGGTAAGGACGGTCCCCCTGGTCTGAGAGGGTTCCCAGGAGAGAGAGGTCTGCCCGGCCCAGTGGTGAGTAGCACACACCTCACATCATTTCTGTCTTATCTCTGTTTGGGATAAATAAGATTCAGATCAATCAGATTGATCTCGCTCTCTCTTTCTCTCTATAGGGGGCTCACGGCCTGAAAGGGAATGAAGGCCCCAACGGCCCACCTGGACCTGCTGTGAGTACAGATGATTAACACATGTCCACCTACAACACTTTTTTTTTTTTTTTGCTATCATTATCTCTCTTTCTTTTTTCTATTTCTCTCTCTCTCCCTCTCTCTCTCTTTTTATTTCGTACACACACTTACTGTGGGAATAAGGTTCATAGCTAAGCCCATCAGTTCATGTGTCAATGATATTCATACTTTATTAATTAGTTACGCAAACAGGTTTCAACTTATTTAGTAGATTCTACTCTAAACATGTATGTACCTGATGTAGACTAGTACGCCATGGATTTACAGAAACTTTAGAGGTATAAAGGTAGTATTGGTAGTGAATGTAGTACAATAAAGGCAGAGACATGTATTTAGGGGAATATAATGGAATATAGAATGAGCATTATGATACATTTACATGACACTACAAAATTCCATGGCAGCCATGTTAGCGCCCCATTAACATTACATGGGGAATATTTAAACAATGCTATGTAACTAAATGTCTGGAGAAGGAACAATATTTGAAATTCTAAAAGTTGCCCAACTCTCTAAATATATGTCTGTGGTTTCAGGTAGTACAAGTAGTGACCGTGTCTCTCCCTGTGTTCTAGGGTTCCCCTGGTGAGCGTGGTCCTGCTGGCCCAGCCGGACCCACCGGACTTCCCGGACGACCAGGACCTCAGGGACCCCCAGGACCCGCAGGAGAGAAGGGTGGACCAGTAAGACCCAGTTCAGTTCAGCCTGGTTCTGGCCATGTCACTAGTTCAAACATAAACCCTCTTGTTAGGAAACAAACATATTTCTCTCAGCTATATCCCAGGGCTGTGTTAGCCTCCTCGTTTGAATTGATCTGTTGTACAGTACAGCAGTGTTCGGGTCAATTCCATTCTAATTTAGTCAATTCAGGAAGTAAACATTTTAATTCAGTCAATTCAGGAAGTAAAAATTTTACTTTCTGAATTGACTGAATGAAAATGGAATGGATCCCAACCCTGCAGTACAGTAAGTCTCTCCAGATGAGAATATCTGGTACATGACTGAAATTGAATGGAATGGAATGGAATGTAATATGCTGTACAAATGTATTATAGGGAGAGAAAGGACCCCAAGGCCCCGCTGGTAGAGACGGTGTCCAGGGACCTGTGGGTCTGCCCGGCCCTGCTGGACCTCTTGGAGCCCCAGGAGAGGATGGAGACAAGGTGGGTTGGCTCGCTGAGGGAATAGTGTGTGTGTGTGGGTGCGTACGGGTGTGCAACTGAATGTATATAAAAGTGAGACTTATGTGCTTAGATAAAAAAAAAAACATGTATTTCATGCTCTGACTCACACACACAAAAACACACTCAACGTGATGATTTAGGTCAAAGTCAGAATGTGTCTGTGCTTTCTGATTCTGACCCTTTCCTTAGTGGTGTTGACAGGCAGTGTTTTCCCTGACTGACAGGTCTTTAAGTCTTTACTGCTGACAGAAAGCTGAACCCGTTATGTCACTCATTTGTATGTTTCAGATGGTAGAGAGAGGAGCTGCTATTTGTATGCAGACACACAGACAGGAGGAGATACACTCCTACACACTGAGACACACTGAGACAGACACAGAGAGAGAGAGAGAGAGAGACAGAGAGACTGAGAGAGAGAGAGAAATAGAGAGCGAGATAAACATTTGTGTGAAAATCTGCTGTAATTGAATCTCTTATCCTTGGAGGAATGCTGCTATAGTTGTTAACTGCACTCTCCCGGTGCTGGGGGACAAAGGGAATACTGAGGTATTTGACATTCAGATAGAGAAACACACAAACGACACAGACACACACACACACAGACAGACACATGCACACACACACAAACACACACACACACAAAGAAAATCTCACTAACATTATCCACAGTCTCATTATAAGGCCTTTACCACTGGGAACGGAGAGGAGAACTCCAAGGCCTTTATGAACGGTAGTTAAGAATTAAGGAGAGTTAAGGAGAATATGTATTTTTTTTTATTTCAGAAGCAATAACCACGTGACCAGCTATCATCTGGGCTAGCTTAGGGAAAGTCTGAGTCGATGTTTTCCCATAATTTCAAACACTTAAAGAATGTGAATGCATTTGAACATGCCTAACGGTGTAATGTGCTGGTGTCATTTATTTTTCCTGTAAAATGCGGTGCATAGAAGGTGTGAATGGGATCCGTGACAGGCTGCTAGTCATTTGTCGCAGAGAGACAACAAACCCGTTCTAGGACGTGACTCTTAGTTATGACACTGTGTCAGCGAATGATATTTGAAGGTGACAATGACATATCAAAAGCCCTGAGACCTCTCTTATATCCCTGCCAAGCACACAGTCACACACACATCTTAATTTAGATCAGAGGAGGCTGGTGGGGGGAGCTATAGGAGGATGGGCATGGAATTATTGGAACGTAGTCAAACGTGGTTTCCATATGTTTGATGTGTTTGATACCGTTCCATTGATTCCACCCCGGTCTTTACAATGAGCCCGTCCACCTATAGCTTCTCCCACCAGCCTCCTCTGATTTAGATGAACACACAAACTCAACAGGATTGAAGTGCGTTAACTCAACAGGATTCATTGAGTTGTGTTGACTGACGTTGTCGTCTGTGTTTCTATCACCAGGGAGAGATTGGCGAGCCAGGTCAGAAAGGAGGCAAAGGAGACAAAGGAGAGCATGGTCCACCTGGTCCTACTGGTCCTCAAGGCCCAGTTGGAGCGCCTGGTCCTGCTGTAAGTGTCCAGTTGATTTATTAGATCTGGAGGTGACCATTGTATCTATGATGTCACTTCCTGCCACTGTCTTCTGGCCTACAGTATATGCCAACGTTTAACCCCCATGCTCCTTCTCTTTCACTCTTTCTCCTCTCCTCCCCCCCTCTCTCTCCCTTGCTCACCCCCTCAACCCCCTGTCTCTCTTTATTTCTCTATGTCTCCCTCTCCGCTCCTCCTCTCCTTCTCCTCTCTCTCTCGGGTGTGTAGGGAGCTGATGGGGAGCCTGGTCCAAGAGGTCAGCAGGGTCTGTTTGGCCAGAAGGGAGATGAAGGATCGAGAGGATTCAACGGACCCCCAGGCCCAGTGGGACTGCAGGTCAGAACCACAACCAGAACCAGAGACAGTCTCTGGATGTGTCCCAAATGGAACCCTATTCCCTATTTAGTGCTTTGATTTTGGCCCATGGCCCATAGGGCTCTGTTGTTGTGATTGTGACTGTCATCATTGTCTTGTCACTGCAGGGATTGCCTGGTCCGGGCGGCGAGAAAGGAGAAACCGGAGACGTTGGTCAGATGGTAAGATTTCCTAATATCCTCTTACACTATACCTATGGAGTAGAATGAAATAGAACAGAATACTAATGTACCGGTATTGAGTGTATTATATGGATTGTATACAATGAATTTAGCACTGTCGGATTCCTATATATGATCATATTTTATTCCTATGTGTGTGTGATGACTCATCACTCCTTCTCTCCTTCCCTTCTAGGGTCCTCCCGGTCCTCCTGGCCCCAGAGGCCCCTCCGGACCCCCAGGAGCTGACGGCCCTCAGGGACCCCCTGGTGGTATTGGAAACCCTGGTGCTGTAGGAGTGAAGGTAAGGTCCCCCTGTTAATACCCTTCACCTCAATATAGAACCCTTCCATAGTATTCTTAAAGAGCGATTGCCCCTAAAAAGCAACTTCTCGTTTTCATTTTGAAAAGGGCCTATGTGGCATCGATATGAATCAGAATAATTTATTTTAATTTCAAAATGTACTACAAAGTGTAAATATGATCATTTTGGTCATAAAGTCAGTCTCATCCAAAACTGAGATTTCACGGAATGAAGGGTACCGTAATAGTTTTCCGTGGGTTGGGTTTATTTTAATCCTGCCCACATGCCCACAGCTGGCAACACCCAAGTAATCATCAATTCAGAGTGCAGCTACACACGACCCGATCAAAATGCCCATGGTCAATTTGTTTTGACATTCAATATTCCTATGGGGCTAGTTAGGGACCATCAGTAAATTACACAATGTACATGGGTAAATATTTTAAAAGGTCAATAGCTCCAAATTTCAATTACTTAAAAACCTCAAACCAACTATAAATTGCAGAAATTCATATATAAATATTGAAAGCATTTCATGAGACAATTAAAAGATGTGCAACATAAAAATATTGTCCCATTTACATTGTGTAATTTATAGACTGTCCCTAGCTATCCCTAGAGCTAGGCTATCCAAAGTCAAACCTACTTTGCCATGTTCGCACACCAGCCGGCTGAAGCTAATTGGCTAAATAATTTGGATAACTCTTACAAACCTGCTAACACAGACAAGAGACACCCAAATCAAACCACACCCCGAAACCAACTCACGCTTGAATTCAGTCATGGCATTTCTAGCATTTCTTAATGAACCAAATCTAAGAACCAAATCTAAACCGAGGCCAGATCAGGAAGTGCAGCTTCCTACCGCTTGGCTTAGTCCTCTTGGCCCCTTTGGGAGCATGGGGCATCCACCCATGGCTCTTCTAGTACTTTGAGATATACAAAACAGAGGACTCAGACAGTATTGGGATGCGTAGTTGTTATGTATCTGTTCCTGCAGAGAAAATGCCCATGGTTTACATCAGTCCAGAGTGGATGGCAAGATCTATTTACCCTGTTGTTGAACTCAGAGACAAAAAATGTCTCATCTATCTGTGTAACTCTGGTTTAAAGTATCAACAAGACACAGATATGCTTACTGTGCAAGAGGTCCAACAATTGCCAGTGTGAGTTTCATTACAACATATACTGTAATTCAGATCACCACTCATTCATCTTTGCAAAGCTTTTGTCGTCATTAATATTTGATGCTGCTATTTCATAGAAAATGTTTGAAATTCTCAAGTGAAAGCGAGCAACACATACACAGCTTAATGGTAGTGTTGTCATCCTCGGCAGTATTGTCACTGGAGAGAGTAGAAGTGTGAATAAATACTCAAAGCTACTGTACTTACATTTTAGTCATTTAGCAGTGCGACTTCTGGGAGCAATTAGGGTTAAGTGCACAGTGACAGATTTTTCACCTAGTCGGCTCGGGGATTAGAACCAGCGACCTTTCAGTTACTGGCACAACGCTCTTAACCACTAAGCTACCTGCCGAATGTATTATTAAAAACAGCTCTTATAAAATAAGCTCGCCGTCGGGGGCTCTACCGTCCGCTCTGCAAGTTCTCAGCACTTTCTACTGCGATAATGGTGTGAATTGTTTTTTCTGGTCCAGTCGATGGAATGACCTTCCCCCTGGGAGCACACATCCATCCCAAAAGCTTAGCTCACCGCAATCACAATCCTTTCTCTGGCTAATCTGATCGGGCAGTTTTTATAGCAGGGGTTAGGCCGGGCCTGCTAACAGCAGCTTTGGGTGTGTTGTACGGGACCGATGGTTGTGTGTCTTTTAGTCTGTTAATAGGAGGGGTGGTGATTTGAGTTGTTAGATCTCTGCTAGAGAGGGAGACGAGATGTAGAAGAGAGAGCGAAGAGGAGAGGAGATAGAGAGAGAGAGGACGAGAGCGATAGGAGGAATATAATCCTCTCTATCGTCTCTCTCTTCTCTCTCTCTCTCTCTCTCTCTCTCTCTCTCTCTCTCTCTCTCTCTATGTATGTATGTATATATAGGTAATAGGGTGCCATCTGGGATGCAACCCCTAGGTGGAGTCAAGCTTCCCAGAGAGACAGATACACTGGACTGAATAAATAGCTTAGGAGAGAATCACTCATGCCTTTAAACAGGTCTCTCTCTCTGCTCTCTCTGCTGCCTGGAGTGGATATCTTGACAGAAACAAGAGCACTTTGGGAAAGAGCGAAGATGCTTATTTAGACTACGAATGGGTATGACATTACAGAGCTAGGTCTGTGCAGGAGGGAGAATAGGTATATGCTTGTATGGCATGGCCTAGACCCGCTTAGTCCAACCCAGCCCCCACTAGGCACAGCTTGGTTTGGCTCTGTGACGTTTGATCCAAACATTTGACCCATCCCGCAGCCCAGGGTTAGGTAAACATTGTCTCTAGGAGCACGTGTGCTGGCAACGTTTATATCCCGATAGGGACTGTGATGACGGGGCCTTATGTGACATTGAATAATGATAGGGCCTGAAGCCTGGGCCTTCTACCCAATAAGACAGGCGGGAAGAGGAAGGGAGGGAGAGTGGAGGATGTACGGAGGAGACCAGGGAGGACCCAGAGGTCGCCCGCTCTCTGCCCGCTCCAGGCCCAGCTCTGACTGGCTGTGATGGATTGAAACCTCTGGTACCATCTCTTTCTATCCACAATTGGGGGTGACCAAGGATGTCAGGACATTGGGTCTACTGAAAATATGTATATCTTTTTTTGGTTCACTGAACTGAATTGTTTTTATTTTCTTGTGTTCTCTCCGTCTCTCAGGGTGATTCAGGTGAAAGCGGAGAGCCTGGTCTTCAGGGAGAACTTGGCGGACCTGTAAGAGAACCGACAGAACCTGCACACCACCATCATCATCCAACAGAACAACACTCTCACCACAGCACTACACTACAGCAATACAGAACCCTACAATTGCCTCTCCACAGAAGAGAAAGAATTACACTGCTGCATATGCAATAATTTAGTGATTCATTCATTTAATACAACAGATATAATGAGACTATTCCTCTGCTTTTGAAATAATTACATAATTTAGGACACAGTTTTGAAATGATAACTTCACCATTACCGTAACAATAACTGAATCAATTCAATACAATTCAATATATTTTTTAATGAAAACCATTATAGAAGAATGCCCCTACTGTGCATTGACATGAACACATTATTGACACACTAACACTGGTGACACACTAATAAAAACCCTGTTAACACACTGTTGACACACTGTCCCACTGTCACAGGGCCCAAGAGGAGAGCGAGGAGAGAAGGGAGAGGCCGGTCCTGCTGGCTCTGCTGGACCCCCCGGCCCTAAAGGTCCCCCTGGAGACGACGGTCCTAAAGGAAGTCCTGTAAGTCCTGGTTACCCGTCACTATAGAGTCACATGTTACACATATTGCAGTTGAGTCCTGTTACTGCCATGTGAATGTATTCCAATGGATGTTATGGATTTGTAATGAGTTGTCACTGGAAGGCAAAGTAAGAGGTATTCTCTTTATGTATTAATAAATTATCCCTAGAGTCATTCTAGATACTGAGCATTTTGTTTGATTTCATTTCCAGGGTCCAAGTGGTTTCCCTGGTGATCCTGGTCCCCCTGGCGAGATCGGACAGGCTGTAAGTAACTGAAATGTTACAATGATATTGTTTTGACATTCCAGTTACTGTATTACTTTGGTACCAGTTGAAATAAAAAAAATCCCAAACTGTGCTCTATCCATCCAATGTTACGCAACATTTATGATGTCTCTCTTTCTCCTCCCAGGGTTTAGACGGTCCTCCTGGTGACAAGGGAGACGACGGAGAGGCTGGTCAACCTGTGAGTCTCACCTAACGCATTATTACACCTGTCTAACGACAAACAAGCATTAACAAACTCAACATTTCTCATATCTGAAGGCAACTACAGTAAACATACAAGTACAGTACAAGAGCTTTTAGCACTGCGTCGCTCATTCCTTCAGTGTCTCTTTTGCTCTCATCATGTAATGTTAACCTTTCTCGCCTCCTAGGGTTCCCCTGGACCCACCGGAGAGTCTGGACCTTCTGGCCCACCAGGAAAGAGAGGCCCCCATGGAACAGTTGGACCTGAGGGCAGGCAAGGAGAGAAGGGAGCCAAGGGAGAGTCTGGTCTGGAGGGCCCACAGGGAAAGACAGGCCCAGTTGGTCCTCAGGGAGCACCTGGCAAGCAAGGTTCTGAAGGTCTCAGAGGTATCCCCGGCCCAGTTGTAAGTACAACATTGTTTCATATTTTGTGTCATAGCCATTACAGTTACTAGGGGCAGTAACTGTGGATGTCCACAACACACATAGATTAGCATAGTGACTGATCTACAAAAGCCATTGCTAAACCACACGCTATGGGCATAAGGGCATAATACCAATATTGTATGTGAAGATCAGTGAGTTAAAGCATTGACTCTCTGAATGTTTCCATGCAGGGGGAACAAGGCCTTCCAGGTTCTTCAGGCCCTGACGGACCCCCTGGACCCATGGTGAGGACAACTAACCTCTGTCCCCTGACCACTAACCCTGGGTTATTTGATGTTACAGGATTCACAGTACCTTGTCTTTTTGGGTAATATGTGTAATATTATATGTCCTCCCTCTCTACTCTTCTTTCTTCCATCCCTCTCTACCCCTCTCCCATATTATTTCCATCTCTCTCTCTACTCCTCTCTCCCTCACAGGGTCCTCCAGGATTACCCGGGTTGAAGGGAAACTCTGGTATTAAGGGTGAAAAGGTGAGCCCCCTGTTTCATCAGATTATTGACCACATGTAGTATACTTTACATATTACTGTCAGTAGAACCGATGTGGATGTGGTGGAGGAGTCAGGCGCAGGACACAGAGGCTTCGTCCAACAGACTTTACTAGTCAAAAGTGCTAAATTACAATACACGGCCTCGAAAACAAACAGAGGCGAGTGAATACGTAACATGCGTAAACACTAAACAAACAAACAGAGCGTCAAAACGCAGCTCCGAAAATACAGGCAGACAACAACACACAATCTAACCAATGCCAAACAGGGAACTTATAGGACACGTAATCAGAACACAAACAGACACAGGTGTACAAGACAGACCAAAGCAATCACACCATGAAACATTCAACGGTGGCAGCTAGTACTCCGGGGACGGCGAACGCCGAAGCCTGCCCGAACCAGGAGGAGGAGCAGTCTCGGCCGAAACCGTGACAATTACTATGAAATATTGACATCAATACCTGTTGCATGCATGGCTAAATATCACAAACTGTATTGTATCTCAAAGCTGCTAATGAGAACCTTGACGACCTTGTACCTAGCCGGTGGGGATTCCAGTTGGGTACCCCCACCCAGTTAGTGGCAGTGTTGGCAACACTGGCTGCAGTAACCCATGGGGAGGGGGTCACACTCAGACAATCAGAGAGGGGGCATATTATTGTGGCCCTGGTGGCACAAAATAATCAAAGGTCTGACTGCACAGAGATGCTGGGGAAAATGGTCACAACGGGGGACCAGCGTGTGTGTGTTTCAGGGGAAGGGGGTGGATCTGATCTCTATCACCTAGGACTTGGCATTGGTTAATCAAATCTCAAATGTTTGCCCAGTTTGCTCAATCTTGCATGCTTTCTCAAACAGCTGTCACTGTATATGCGTTTGTAAATCAGGTCCTTTCTTGAGTTGGGCTCTGGAATGTAACAACCATTGAGCATCTGAGCTTATGGTTTATTGTGGGGGAAAGGGGTTGAGTGTGTAAGAGTATGTGTGTGTGTGTGTGTGTGTGTGTGTGTGTGTGTGTGTGTGTGTGTGTGTGTGTGTGTGTGTGTGTGTGTGTGTGTGTGTGTGTGTGTGTGTGTGTGTGTGTGTGTGTGTGTGTGTGTGTGTGCGTGTGTGTATGTATCCCACATCAGTTGCAAGGGGGTAAGGATGTTAGGGACAATATAGGATGAATCATAATAATTGTTTGCTAAAATAATAATTGCTTGACAAAAATGTAATGTAATGCAATGGAAATCCTGGTTATAGGTAACAATACTTTGCATGAACTGCCAACATTATTACTCATATGAATTGTTAATGATGGAAATTAAGATACGCAAATTGGAGGCTCCTTACACTTCAGCGTTGTGATGCAAAAATTCTAGCAAAATGTATAGTGCATAGAATGAAAAAGGTATTGTCGGACATTATTCATCCTAATCAGACATTGGATACATTGGAGATAATATAAGGCAAGTACTGGAAACAATAGAACACTATACAACATATATTGTGGTTAAACTAAAATATACTAATTGATTAAAAAAACATTATTATTATTTTAATTTTAATTAATTTAATTTTTTTTTTTTTAGGTATAATCTTCTTAAATTATATCACAGGTAGGACTGGTGGAGTTATGTCTCACATGCAGCTAACAAAAACATATGGAAATGTCTGCTCTACCCAAAATTACAACCAACTAATTGCAGCATTACCGCAAAAATGGAAGAGGAAAGTGGAAGGGTAAAAAAGAAAGGTACTTGTCTGTCGGCTCTGCATTAAAGACCATAATTGGTTAAAGAAAATTGTGATAAATAAAATAGTATACCAGTTTCAGTTAAGGACCAAAAAATTGACAGCCGTGCCATGTAGATGACAAAATAGTTGGGAAGAGATTTTTGACATACTGATTCCATGACACATGGTTTATGAACGACGCCAGATTCAAAACTTAGAATTTTTCAATTTAAATTATTATACAAAATTCTTGTAACCAATATAATGTTATTTATATGGGGCATACAACCTTCCCAACTCTGCAGATTTTGCTGTGAAGAGACAGAATCATTAGATAATTTGTTTTGGTACTGTCCATATGTAGCTTGTTTTTGGTCACAGGTCCAGGAATGGCTGAATAATTGCTATATTTACCTGGAGATAACCCTGCAGATATCACTACTGGGTGTTCTGAAAAGTCATAGTCAATCGATCAATAATATAATAATACTTTTAGCAAAAATGTTTATTTTCAATTTACAATCTGTAGAAACATTGAGAGTAGAAAGGTTCAGAACTTTTGTGAAACATCACAGCACAGTTGAAAAATATATGGCAAATAGAAATCCGATATGGATTGTGTTAAGAGATAGATGGGAGGGGTTGAATGGAGCTGAAGGTTGGGACTAATAACAACTAATAACAATAAGATAACTAATGTAAATCATACTGTGTCTGTAAAACGTATATAGGTTATAGGTTAAGAACTTATGTGAAAGAACACAGTTTGAAAGATATGGTAAATAGAAATCAAACCGTATGGCCATCAGAAATAGATGGGAGAGGTTGAGGGTAGAGGAAGGACAGGAGTAAAAACAAACAAAATAGAACTATTGTAAAATTGACTATGTCGATAAAATTTACATAGTATGTATGAGCTGGAAGTAGAGGCCAAAGCGTTGTTGTTCACTAGTTTACTCGAGTTAGGGGAGGGGTGGTAGGGTTAGAAGGTAATAAAGGAAAATATATATTTTTTTAAAGGATATGTGTATATATATATATATATTATATATATATATATATTTATATATATATATATATATATATATATATATATTATATATAGTATTATATGTATATATATATATATGATATATATATATATATATTATATATGTATTTATATATATATATATATATATGTATGTATGTATGTATGTATGTATGTATGTATGTATGTATGTATGTATGTATATATGTATGTATGTACAGTACCAGTCAAATGTTTGGACACACCTACTCATTCAAGGGTTTTCCTTTATTTTTACTATTTTCTACATTGTAGAATAATAGTGAAGACATCAAAACTATGAAATAACACATATGTAATCATGTAGTAACCAAAAAAGAGTATATTTTATATTTGAGATTCTTCAAATAGCCACCAATAAGAAGAAGAGAACTGCTTGTTCCAAGAAAAACGAGAAATTGACATTAGACCGGTAGATGGTTTTTGCGACTTCACTTGAAGAAACCTTAAAAGTTCTTGAAATGTTCTGTATTGACTGACCTTCATGTCTTAAAGTAATGATGGACTGTCGTTTCTCTTTGCTTATTTGAGCTGTTCTTGCCATAATATGGACTTGGTCTTTTACCAAATAGGGCTATCTTCTGTATACCCCCCCACCTTGTCACAACACAACTGATTGGCTCAAACACATTAAGAAGGAAAGGAATTCCACAAAATAACTTTTAAGAAGGCACACCTGTTAATTGAAATGCATTCCAGGTGACTACCTCATGAAGCTGGTTGAGAGACTGCCAAGAGTGTGCAAAGCTATCATCAAGGCAAAGGGTGGCTATTTGAAGAATCTCAAATATAAAATATATTTTGATTTGTTTAACACTTTTTTGGTTACTACATGATTCCATATGTGTTATGTGTTTTTATTTCATAGTTTTGATGCCTTCACTATTATTCTACAATGTAGAAAATAGCAAAAATAAAGAAAAACCCTGGAATGAGTAGATGTGTCCAAACTTTTGACTGGTACTGTATATATTTGCAAAATATATATGGGGAATGATATACAGATTAAGGTTAATAATAATATATATAGATATATTTATTTTAATAAAAAGTATACTGTACATATTACAGTGAAATATTGACATCAATACCTGTTGCATTCATGGCTAAATATCACATACTGTATTGATCTTCCACTGTTAATGATGTTGAAGTCTAATAGCCCATAGGGATACAGGTGAAACGTGTCGGTATAGATACTGTATATTGCATACCTTACACATTCAAGTTAATGATAACTGACTGCTCTGCGTTCAAACCTATTGATTGTGTATCTGGTATCAGCTCCAGAGCAGTGAGTCATCACACTAATGATATATGAAGATAGTTTGACAGAGAGACAGATGTGAGTAATTCAATGTTTGATTGATTTTTGAAGTAAGTTTATTGATCTGTATGTTTCTGATACTCTCCTCAGGGCCACCCTGGTCTGATCGGTTTGATCGGGCCCCCAGGTGAGCAGGGAGAAAAGGGTGACAGAGGTCTGCCAGGGCCCCAGGGAACATCAGGACCGAAAGGAGACAATGTGAGAACACCCCCAACTCAAATAACATATAATATTATAACAAGAAGAAAATGTTATAGCAAGCCTCCAACTCAGCCTGACATTAGTTAACCTAATAAGTGACATGTTTTGGTTTGGTCTGGCATATCGTTGATCATATCAAGTCATTTAATAGCACAGTAAAATGTTTGATCACAAAATGATAACACCAACTTTGTATTGGGGTTTTTTTCCACCCTTCTTTTCACCCTCTCTCCTTCCTCTCTTTCCTCTCTTCCCTCCCTCTCTCCCTCCAGGGTATTGCTGGCCCCTCAGGTCCTCTTGGTCCCCTGGGACCCCCAGGATTACCTGGTCCTCCTGGTCCTAAAGGAGCTAAGGGGTCATCGGTAAGCGTCCCCACAAACCACCATGTCCCTCTAAACCATGTCATACTGTCCCCTCTTAATCATGTTCCACTGTCCATATAAGTTGTATATATGACCCTCTAAAGTCTAAACCATGTCCTATATACCATAGAGGCTGTGTAGATGACGCTGTGTTGTGTTCTGTCTTCCTCAGGGTCAAACTGGTCCCAAGGGAGAGACTGGTGTTCCTGGACAACCAGGGCCTCCTGTAAGTTATCTCCACGATTGTGTGATGTTGTTTTAGTATTACTTTACGTAAACTGAACTTTGCGATATGACAGTTTAGAATAGAATACAATAGTATACTCCCACTGTGGTCCTCTGTAGCTCAACTGGTAGAGCACGGCGCTTGTAACGCCAAGGTAGTGGGTTCGATCCCCGGGACCACCCATACACAAAAATGTATGCACGCATGACTGTAAGTCGCTTTGGATAAAAGCGTCTGCTAAATGGCTTATTATTATTATAAAACCACTCTCTTCTTCCACTCTTCTCACCTCCTTCCATCCTCCTCTCCTCCTCTCCCCCTCTCTCATCTTCTCCACCTCCACAGGGTCCTCCCGGTGATGTCATCCACCCACTGCCCATGCAGTCAAATCCCAAGAGGAGCCGCAGGAACATCGATGCCAGCCAGATGATGGACGAGGCCAACGCTGATGCCAACTACAAGGACTACGACGACGGCATGGAGGAGATCTTCGGATCCCTTAACTCCCTCAAGCTGGAGATCGAGCAGATGAAGCACCCGCTGGGAACGCAGGGCAACCCCGCCCGCACCTGCAAGGACCTGCAACTCTGCCACCCCGACTTCCCCGATGGTGGGCATGGAAAATCTGAAATTCAAAATCTGACGTGCTCAGATTGTGTTCAGTTTATAAATTCTGTTAATAAGTATTTGGGTGCTATAGCCCAGGAGTAATCCGACTTTGTATGAAAAAGACGCCCAGAACACGTTATCTATCTTAGACAAGTGAATATGATGTCAATGCCAATGGTCAAGTGTTATTATAGTGGATTTAAGTGGGATAGAGAAAAAGGATTAGAAATAGGATTAGCCATCTTGAATTTCTTTGATGATATTGCCTGTCATTGCAGTGTAAGTGAGCTAAAGAATATGCCCTCTCTGGAAGGCTAAATCATGCTAATTTAAACATTGAATGACCTCTGATGAAAAGGTTTGTAATTGTTAAGGTTCCCTCCTTCCCCCTCTCCGTCCCTCTTCATTTTCTCCCTTCCTCCCTCCCTCCCACCCTATATTTTTGGTCATTTTCAGGTGAATACTGGATCGACCCCAACCAGGGTTGCTCTAGGGACTCGTTCAAGGTCCAATGCAATTTCACAGCAGGAGGAGAGAGCTGCATCTACCCTGACAAGAAGTCTGAAGGGGTAAGTCATGGTGCTTTTACATACACAACTGGTCAAATGGTCACATTTTGAGAGCAAGTGATAGAAATTAAATGGGAGAACGTGCTTAAAATGAATGCTTAAAAACTGTAACCGTATACATTTTAAAGGTTTTGGTTGTTATAATGAGGGGAATACAAATTCTTAAAAGCGGGCATGATGATATTTCTGGTTGATTGAAATAGTGTGTTGAATTTCTTTGTATCTACAATGTTCTGTCAACTGTTTCGTATTTGATTGACAGGTTAAATAACTCAGACTGTATGCTGCGGATAAGTGTATATAATTGTTCTTCTTCCCAGGACCCAGGCAAACTACTGTGCATATAAATCATATCTACCTCTCTTCTGACAGTACTGCATAATCACATAACACCTCCTCCTGTGCCCACACCCATCACGTTTCATTATTACCTTACTGGTATGAGTGTAATATCAAGAGGATCCTCCAAGCCCCTAGGGGGCAGTCACTCCCATTTAAGATGCTTGGTGTTGCACACTGCTGACATGTCATGATGTCAATCAATATATTTGGGGCAGTCACTCACTGTCAACGGAGAGTCAACTATTCACAAACACACACAGGTGTATAAACGCATCCGTTTTGCTGTGCCATCCTCCAGTTAAGTGTCAGTAGCCTAGTGTTGTGCCTGCCCTATGCACCTGTAATAGGTTATGGCAGGTTACAGGCACCCAGAGAGGATTCTGCTGCTGGCTGATTATGCATGGAGAACAGGAGAGGAGATGAGAGGAGAGAAGTAAAACACAGGAAAGTTTGTCAGTGACAGGTCAGGGGAGATCTGTAATGACTTTCTGCTACAGGACATTTTAACGATCCACTGGTGCTTTGAGACGCATAAATTCAGAATAATGAACCTGACTTTTTATAGCCTGGGAGAGTGATGGGCCGGTGGGATGGTCTCGTTGGTGTAGAGTGGAGAGAGAGAGGACATATGAACAGAGGCCCTGACATTGACATGCACACATGTGGGCACCTGCGCACGCACACGCACACACACACACACATACACAGACACACACCCTCTCTCCTTCCCTGTAGCCTGGGACACTGTATCCCTAGATCGATAGATGAAGGATAGCAGAGTGAAATAAACAGTCTTTTTTTCCCTTTGCGTGAACAAGCGTGTACACGCTGGAATTAGAATGCGCGGTAGTGAATAAGAGAAAACAGACGCCGTCAGTGACGTCATGCGCTACAAATTAGAAAGCAAGTCTACTTTCCTCGCGTCTACCCGAAGCAATGCTGGTAAAGTGAGCAGATAAATTGCCAGAAAATAGACTTTGTGAATTGTTATGTCTGGAATTTGTGACATATATAGTTAAAAAGTGTCTATTTGGTGTTGATAAGTTCAGCTGCCAGTTCCAATAATAGGCCTACGTATTTCAAAACAATAACTTTATGCCTACCTTTGTTGGCATGGTGATATTTCTGGTTGATTGAAATAGTGTGTGGAATTTCTTTCTATCTACAATGTTCTTTATGCCTACTTTTGTTGATTTTGAGCACAGTCATATGGCCTAGGCAGGCTACGGCTGGGAAACTCGAGGAACTCTGTTCGAGAGAATACTGTTATGTAGAAACGAGACTAGCTAAATTCTTTATAAACTGCAAGGGTGTATTAGCTACAACTCTCCTCACATTGGTGAGCCAACATAACAGGAGGCAGGTATGGTGGCTCCCGTAGGACATATAAGGTGAGTCAAAAGGAACACCACAACAATTCACAAGGGCTACATAGCGAACATAACAAATACAACTGTTTATTATGGATTCTCATGACAATTAAGTTGGCATACGCTACGCAGTGGATGTGAATTGACGCCCTCTACTCTCGCACGCACATTTTGACGCCATTGACGGTGTCTTTCTGTGTGGTTTCGGCTTTAGAAGTAGAGGGTATCAGTTCTCTCCCCCTTTGGGCCCCCCCTTCTGCTCTCGCCACTTATGCCTTTAAAACAGCAGGGGGTTTTCAAATCAAATCAAATGTGTGTTTAACGTATGCTGTCTCCCAGCGTTAAGCGATCTCCAGCTGAACATTAATTAACACATTAAGGCATTGATGACAAGCCCTGTATAAACCCTGTATCAGACTAATCTGGCTCATTCTGAGCTAGCCATAATATTCTAATTATTGTTGTTGAATAAGTCCATCACACTGGCGTACTGCTGGCCATTTAGTCTGATACAGATCTTAATGGGGAAAAAAACAAAGATAATTATTGGTGGTTATAAAGAAGCAAAAGCTGAACAGAATGTAAAACTTTCTCGATGGCTAGACGGTTTACAGCTTTTAAATTGAAAAGTTACTTCTTGTTGGCTCTACAACAAAAGCTTTACTGGCTTTAAATGAAATCCATAAAAACAAAGCCACCTACTTGTCTCAGCATAAACAGCAGAAGCTTAAACCATAAAGTATAGTCACTTCTGTATGGTTGTAGAGCAAAACACTTAGCAATAGGGCATTTGTAAGCTGGTCCCTTGGAGGCTAACGGCTGCATCCGAAATGGCACACTATTCCCTTTATAGTGCACTGCCCTGGTAATGCACTATAAAGGAATAGGGTGTCTTTTGGGCTGCGGCCAACGTCTCCTAACTAATCACTGTGTACTCATTAATATATTATCAGTAATTAGCTGCCAGACAATGTTTATACAAAACACCATAATAGCTTACTAAGCCTAAAGTCTTTTACACTGTCCCGGGCTGTTCGGTGTCACCGATACTTCTGCAGGTCTGGCAGAAGCTACAGAGGGCCAAGGGAAGGAGGGACGGAGGGGTGGAGGGGTGGAGGGGTGGAGGGGACGAATGAGGGATGACTGTTCTTACTGTTTTTCTTTCTTTAACCTTCGTTTTTTCTCCTCCTCCTCCTGCTCCTCCTCCTCTTCCCCCATGTTTCACTCCCTCCGTACCCCAGACTAGGCTCACGTCCTGGGTAAAGGAGATCCCTGGCTCCTGGTTCAGTGAATTCAAACGTGGTAAACTGGTAAGCCGCCCTGATGCCCCCCTTCCCCTTCCCTTTTTCCTGAACGGCTCATCTCATATTTTACAGAGCAAAATGGCAAAATGGCCCAAAGACGCCCCAGGCTCTTGGTATAGTCGCTACAAGCGAGGTTCCCTGGTAAGTGGCACGCCCGCAGGTCTCTGGAGGCCCAGCAAGAGTGACTCCTTGCTGGGTCTCTGGGGGCCTAAGGGCCCTGCATGGTTCTAGGTTCTGGTTCTGGTACTGGTCAGTACTGGTTCTGCATGGTTCCTGTACTGGTTGGTACTGGTCTCTGACTGGCAGTCTGGCTTGTGGTTGTGGCGACACTGCTCTGCATGGTTCAGCATGATCAATCTCAGCTCACCTTCAGTAAGACATACAGCTGTAGGTGAAGAGGCTCCTCCTTCCAGAATAGAGGGAGACAGTTGGTGGAGCAGACACACACATAGACATTCTTTACCATGGCAACTAGTAGTTGAAGAAGTTAAAGAAACGTTTCCATTGAAGAAAAACTTCAGTAGAAATTCAATACAAAATGTTAAGTGTAGTACAAAAAATAAATGAATTTAGTCAATCATAGTGTGTTGGTTCTGAATGTTGCCATGGAAAAGTATGACGGTAAATGCGTCCACTCAACCTGACTTCCTCTGAAGTTGGAGAGCATCACCTAGAAGTGACTGAGTGCCTTGACAATCTCACAGTTAGACACACATTTTATATTTAAACACACTAACAACAACTACTCCTATTGACCTCAGCATTTTCCAGTTGACTCAGATGCATACTGTATAAATACATACCTATTCATAAATAGGTATGTATGTATAGTGAAAGCTACTCACAGGAGCGTGATTAGGCACCATTTTGTTCCTGCTACACTCATTTCACACATTCACTTCCTCATTCACTCTCACATCAGGATTACGGTAGGTAACAACACTGATTCAATGTGAACAGTCAAAGGTCAGGCACTCAGTCATCTTCCCAAGGGCTTTTCGGTACTCAAACACTTTTGACTTGCGGCTGTGATGAAGAGGTAATGTTTCCATGGCGATGTAGGGCAGGTTCTACACGCTGGTTCTGCGGGGCAGAGCGGGTAGGGGGGAGGAGGGATGAGGGAGGGAGGAGGTGTGGGAGGAACAGACAGGAGCAGGGGAGGATCTACCTAGCCTCTCTGAGTACCGGGACACTCACAGGGGTGAGGGGTACTACTCCCTTTATGAGCCACTGATGAACAGACACTCATACTAGACATAATGGACATAGTTGTCATCCTTTAATATGTCCAAAAATATAAACGCAACATGCATCAATTTCAACGATTTTACTGAGATACAGTTCATATAAGGAAATCAGTCATTTGAAATAAATTCATTAGGCCCTAATCTATGGATTTCACATGACTGGGCAGGGGCGCAGCCTTGGGTGGGCCAGGCTCCCAAGTGGGTGGGCCTATGCCCCCCACCCTGGGCTGGCGTGGTTACACGTGGTCTGCGGTTGTGAGGCCAGTTGGACGTACTGCCAAATTCTCTAAAACGACGTTGGAGGCGGCTTATGGTATAAAAATGAACATTCAATTCTCTGGCAACAGCTCTGGGGGACATTCCTGCAGTCAGCATGCCAATTGCATTCTCCCTCAAAACTTGACACATCTGTGGCATTGTGTTGTGTGACAAAACTGCACCTTTTAGAGTGGCCTTTTATTGTCCCCAGCACAAGGTGCACCTGTGTAATGATCATGCTGTTTAAACAGCTTCTTGATATGCCACCCCTGTCAGGTGGATGGATTATCTTGGAGAAGGAGAAATGATCACTAACAGGGATGTAAACAAATTTGTGCACAAAATCTGAGAGAAATAAGCTTTTTGTGCGCATAGAACATTTCTGGGATCTTTTATTTCAGCTCATGAAACATGGGACCAACACTTAACATGTTGCGTTTATATTTTTGTTCAGTACAGAAAATGTACATCGGATTTGATTACTTCCTTCTCATAGTAATTTGTAATGTCCATTATTGTCCAGTTTGTATGTGTGTGTGTGTGTGCGTGTGCATGTGAGAATATCTATACACACACACACACACATCAGTAGCTCCATGCTCCGACTGCATGGCATGGGCGTTGCATGTGCTTGGCTCTTGGTCTCAGTCAGTCCTGTTTGTCTGAAAGAAGAAGAGAACCCTGTGGAACTGATGGTGGAACACTGCTGGTTGGTATGGAAACGGATCTCCACCGTAATAGTTCCGTGGCATCACACCAAAGACTGATGTTACCACGTGTTACTGGATGGATCATCAGTCAGTATTCACATAAACAAGGCAAATTAGGCAAATTCTACATTACGCAAACCGATTAAACTAAACCATTATTATTTTAATTAAGACAATTATGTTTGTGCATCATGTTTTACATTTCCTAATGAGCTTGTTTAAAAAACTAAATGTCCATAATTGTCTTAATTAAAGTTAAACTGTTTAATAACGGATAGCTTCTCGATTGAGAGTAATCGTCACTTGTTCATTGCTAGTAGACTGCTATTCCTACAGAACCATTGTAGTCTTTCAGCAGAGAATAAGTCAGTCAGTATCTAATGCCCAGAGCCTGTAGATTAGACCTCCTGTTATAACCCGTCTGCCTTACTGTTCCTCAGACAAAGGCTTACTCCTAGAGCCCCAGTCAGACAGACAGACTCCATAATACAGCAACCCTCTCCATCACTCCCAAAACTGGGTGATGATGGCCTAGATATTTCACTCTAAAGGAGTTAACCGGGATACAACCCTCTCTGATATATCCCCCCGCCTGATTTGTCGTCTGAGGAATCGGGATTATGACCTACTCCTGTAGTTCCGCCGTGAATTATGGGTAATGAAGCGTAATATGCTCTCTGCAGAAGCGCCGGACGCTGTTGCTCTCCTTAACCACAACCCCACTCTCTCCCCCGAGCAGCAGTGAAAGATGGGACAAATGCGCGTGTCGCGGCGCACTGCACTGACCGATTGACATCCATAATTCTGTTAGGCCAGCCGTAGCATCGGAGAGAGAGAGGCGAGGAATGTTGACCTGTTTGAGTGACGGTGTGTCATCGCTCTGAGTCCAACACAGCACTGCTGCAGACACCTGCAGTTGTTAATGGCTGTCCGCAAACAACGAAGACGACACTCATTTTACATCTGAGTCATTTACCAAACGCTCTCATCTAGAGCTACTTACTGTTAGTGCATTCATCTTAAGATAGCTAGGTGAGACAGCAACATATCACAGTCGTAGTAAGTACATTTTTCCTCAATAAAGTAGACATCAGCAAAGTCAATGCTAGTAGGAAAAGACTAGTGCAAGGGTTAATTATTCATTTATTTTTTAGACACTCCTAGGTGTCGGAATTAGAGTTCACAGATAGAAAAGAAACCCTAACGAGGCACCTCACAGTACATGAGAACAGTGTGATGTGTAGATTTGGGTGTTCTTGTCTGAAATGGCACCCAATTCCCTAAATAATGCACTACTTTGTATCAGAGCACTGCTCAAAAGTAGTGCACTATTTAGGGGATTAGGGTGCCATTTCAGATGCACCCAAGCACCAATACTATGTATGTATAGTGTCTGTATTAGTCCCCAATGCCTAGACCCTTTATCCCCTCTCCTTCCATCTGTAGCTCTCGTACGTGGACGCTGAGGGCAACCCCATCGGCGTGGTCCAGATGACCTTCCTCCGGCTGCTGAGCGCGGCCGCCCGCCAGAACCTCACCTACAACTGCTACCAGTCAGTTGCCTGGCTCGACCAGGACGGGGACTCGTACGACAAGGCCATCCGCTTCCTGGGGTCCAATGATGAGGAGATGTCCTACGACAATAACCCCTACATCAGAGCCGTGGTGGATGGCTGCGCGGTGAGTGGCTGGAAGATTGTGTGTGTCTTGGGGGTGTGTGTGTGGGTGAGATGTCCTTAGCACCGAAATACTTTCTCAAAATGTCCCTCCTTTCTCTCTCCCTGTTTTCCAGTTGAAAAAGGGCTATGAAAAGACAGTACTTGAGATCAACACACCAAAGGTGGAACAGGTGCCTTTTGTTGACATAATGTTCAACGATTTCGGCGGAGCCATGCAGAAGTTTGGATTCGAAGTGGGTCCTGTCTGTTTCATCGGCTAAGACTGTTTACTGAACAAAATGGAGAAAATAAAAAGCATATTTGTTTTCTCAAAAACAAAACACATGAAATTAATAGGACAATTTTTATTTGTATAAAACATTCTGTGTCCAAAAGCAACAAGTATAATAACAAAAATTCAAGATGAGAATACTAGAATACATTTCTATAGGATTTCATAAGAAATAATAAAACAAGAGCAACCTTGCAACCTCAGTGTGCCTTCTCCATCACATGCAAGTTTTGAAACTGGATAAGTCAGATACTACCGACCCCTATCTTCACCCTTGACCCCTATCTCTGACCTGAAACCTCCACCCACACCCAGTGCACTTGATGTAGATCCAGTCTGCCTGTCCAACGCACCCGAGGCAAACCTTTACCTGGAATTGCACTTGTTTCAGAAGATTGCCATGGACAGTTTGCTTCTTTGTTTTTTTTAGTTTTTTTAAATTACATCTCCCTCTTTACTCCCGCTTTGAATATTTTATTCATTGGTTCATTCATTCGCTCATTCATTCATTAATTTCGAAAGCTTTGTTTTGTGCATAATTGTCTCCCCATTCTTCTGAATGGAGCTTATATATATATATAAATATTTTTTGTATGTTTGTAAGTACTTTCTGTATATTTTTCCTGGTAATGTTTATTGATTCTGGCTTCAAAACGTGCATGTGACCTTTTAGGAGATGATGGTTATTGGAATATATCAAATTTGCAGATACTAAAGTGAGAAATTGGACATGTAAATTGGAGAATAGATGAGGAGTGCTTGTCTTGTTGCTGGCTGTGAAGGACACGTAATTGTAATTTAAGAACCGAATGAAAATAAAAGTTGGAAAAAAACCTCTGCACTACTATGTGAGAGTTGATTTGCAGAAAAGAAAACGTGTCAAGAAAAAAATACACAAAAACATTCCTCCTCTTCTTGTGTCCTCCTGAAGTGCCTATTTTGGTTGCATTTTGAGATTTTATTAACTTAATAAACAGTCTTTTTATGTAATTTTTTTCCCAATACTTCAATATTTCTAATCTATCAAACTATATATGCAACGTGAGATGTCACATTTCAATGAAGCACAAGAAATCAAAACTTAGGTGCTATTTTCTCTCCTCTGTGGTGCTATGATATTTTCTAGTTTGTTGTTATTTTGAAAGTACAGTAATCTGATGGCGGTGATGTTAACCTGTCACCATGACTACCCTGTCTGCCCCTGACCCTCTTAGCCATTACCTCTGGCACAATAACATCTTCACTGCATTCTTATTTATGTCCAGGGGTGTTTTAATGCATGCCAGTTTGCTTCATATTCATCCATAGATCAATGCAGTATTTCATTTTATGTACTTCTCTGCTTCCAAGGCCCACTTAGTAACAACTCTACTAGTGTCTGATCATACTGCAACTTACTTGGAATGTGCTAAATGAAATAAGATTGTACTTGGGTGCCGGATGTGGTGCTAATTTATTTAACTTTCTTAGATGTCTTAAAAAAAAAGAAAGAAAACGGTAGAAGCGATACTGCAATGTTTCCCATATCATGGTTCCAAGACTTGGTGCATTTTGTGAATGGATCTCAATGATTGGATCATCTTTTTCCACTTCAAGCTTTTTCCTGCTTTCCTTTTTTGGGGGTGGGGTGGAGGTGACTGGTTTGGAAGGGGTACCCCGTTGAGTATTCCAAAGCACATGGCTGCAGAAAAGTTTGGAGTTTTGGTACCTGAAACCCTCAACTCTCTTACCAAAGGTTTTCTTCATACACAGCTTTAAGTTCCTAGAGCGCCAAGAATCCACTACATATTTTGAAATCCATTATTTTTGAAAATGTGGCAGGATTTTCAAAATGATGATTAAAATCAGATGTATCATATAAAGTTGTTTTAAATAAAAGGAAAAATATCGTTGTTTTTTAAAAAAGTTAACGATCGCTAATAGTTCAACAGATTAGCCAGATGAAAAGCTTGTTTTTGTATTGTCGTTTGGGTCTTCTGATTTATCTGTTGGTTTACTTTCTTTAGCCCCTAGTTATCCCCTTTGTACAAACTATGCACTCTGCCTGCTTTTTACCACTACAGCATCTACCACAGAACTTTTTACTGTCCTGCATAAGTAGCTTGTTTTTTGTTATGTTTTACAATTTTTACCTTCTAGATATGTGACTTGAAACATTTCTGTTAAAATAGCTGAATACACTTATTAATAATCGTTTTAAAATTTTCATTTCGATGAATCACGCCAAATTTAAAATTTTTTGCTCTCAATGAAAGGACAAAACAATTTTGTAAATTTTCAGAACCAGCAGTCAATAAAGTTTTTTATTTTTGTTTTACATTTGTCTGTTCGTTTGTTTGCTTTTACGGTCTTGTCAAACCTGTGTAAGAGAGGATAGAAGATATATTGGTGTTCTTGTCAATAAATTCAAGTTTACTGTGGCCATCCACTCTTGTATGTCTTTCGAAGTATTAAAACCTATCTGTATGCATGAAATTGTAAGGTTTTTCTCTTGTTGTCATACTTTAGAATGACATGATCTCCAACCCACTTTCTTTTATATAAAATACGTACATTTGCTAAAATTAATGCTAAATTGATTGTTCATTTGTAGTATATTTATTGTATTATTTAAAAAATAAATGTAAATTGATACCATAGTGTTACTGGAAGGCCCCCTCTTTATCTCAGAAACAGATGTATTTATTGTTAAATGGTTTTTAGTCACTATTTGCAACTTGTGTTATGTTAGCCTACCCTGATCCAAAACTCCAGATACCGTAAATGGGATTTGGACAAAATAAATTCATGTTTTGTCATTATTTTACAGATTGTTCAAAGACTTTCATCAACTCTACGTAAGTTAAATGGTGAATATTTTATGTTTTTAGTCATAGTTGTTGAATCCACAGTTAGGGCTCTTTTCAATCCTTAGCGCTGAAGGCCGTTTATACCGCGATTGACAATTAAAGGCAATGTTCCCGCGGTCGTGGAGACTGCATTCATGGTAAACTCTGCATATGTCGGCTCATATGAAATTACCGTAACATTTTTGCGTGGATCTTCTGCGATACTTCGGCGATACTGATTGAATCCAGCCCATAGAATAAGATCATGCAAAGCAAACCATGTTTACAGTATGTGAAGTTCCACCATTTTTAAAATCCTTCTTCTGGCAATATGATTACGACTGAAAATCTTTGCTGGCTTAATGTGTTCCACCACCTCTACCCCTCATTAGAATACATTTGCATACACACATACAGTATGCAAATGCCTCCAGGGATGTACTGTAGCTGAAGTGTACATTATATGTTTCTGTATGCATATTTGATGCAGTGTTGACAGGATGGATGTATCTGCATGAATACTGATACTGGGTAAACAAATAGAGTTTAAAACAGAACGACATGCAGAGTTACTTACACCCTCGCGCTCATCATCTCTTCGTAGGCCTGGTGCTTAACTTTGAATTAGCTTTCCATTTAGGTTGTTGGTCTTTCAGCTTTCTTACAGGTTCTTAGAAACCGTTGATTATTAAAAACGATGTATATTCCATTTAATCCTTAAGACTCTATTGACGCATCCATGCGTCAACCTAAGTAAGATACTAAAAAAATCCCCAACAAAATGTGTCCGTTTACTTCTGTCTGTAATGTCAACTTTTGTCTCTAGCGTTCAAACCGTTTGGCTACAAACTAACGACCACGATGGTGTTCTCCGTTTTACTCTACAACCCCCACAAGCGTCACGGGACTTGTCTGAAGGTACTCATACAAATGAATGGAAGTATGGTAGTTTCATGGCAACAAAAATAAGGGGTTAAAATATGTGTAAAAAAACTGAAATATTTCCTGAGCTTTCTTATAGGACAGACACTTCAAAACCTTATTCCTAATGATTTATTTATTTATCTGTCTGTTTTATTTTTATTTTTATTTTACAATTTATGAATGAGACACCATTCGAATGTCTGCAGACTCGTTACAACTTCAGCTTTACGCACAACATGACTTTGTCCCTCTGTGACTAATAAAACGTGGTCGTGTTTCAATTGTACTAAATTATTTAGTATTTTTTAATGTTAGGAGCTCTGAATCCGGTTGAGAATATCACAGTGAGATGAAACCACGATTTCTGAAATTGCTAGACTGTCCCCATTAATATGCCGTCTCCCAGGCTGGACTCCATTCCTCAGAGGGACAGCAAATCGATTCTTTGTCTGGATAGGCCAGAAAATGTGATATGTCACTCCCTATGCAAATGTATGGTGTGAAACCTGACACTTCAAGTCAGCTCCACTGACAGAGTGGTAGCGGAAAGCAGACAGATGGGGTTTACTGGCAATATAAGTCACTAGACCCTGCGACATTCACACAGCGCCTTGTTAACAAAATGTCAGTCGGAACAGGTCCAGAACCGCTCAAATTCCCCTAAATTGGGGACTTAACATCTATGAGGTTGCATCCTCTCAATGGCATCAGTTAGTCTGTTAGTCTCCTCTGATTTACAGTGGTGTGGCATTTTCTTTTTCTCAACATCTATTTTTAATGAGACAGCTGATATTGATAGAAGGAAATGCTTTGGGATCAGAAGGGTTGGAGGGTTGAGGAGGCCCACAGTGGGTCAAGGGCCAGTCTGCCGCCTTAGGAAATGAAGATGGAGAGGAAAGAAAATAAAAATTGATCAAAACGTTGGAGTAATTGCCCTGAGCCTGTGGCTCTTTGGGCAACAGAGACAGTCCATTCATTCATACAGTATTTGATACACTGCCGATTTTGCAGGTTTTCCTACTTACAAAGCATGTAGAGGTCTGTAATTTTTATCATAGGTACACTTCAACTGTGAGAGACGGAATCTAAAACAAAAATCCAGAAAATCACATTGTATGATTTTTAAGTAATTCATTTGCATCTGCAGTGTGTGCAAACCTGGTCAAGACCTACAGGAAACGTATGATCTCTATAATTGCAAACAAAGGTTTCTGTACCAAATATTAAGTTCTGCTTTTCTGATGTATCAAATACTTATGTCATGTAATAAAATGCAAATTAATTACTTAAAAATCATACAATGTGATTTTCTGGATTTTTGTTTTAGATTCCGTCTCTCACAGTTGAAGTTTACCTATGATAAAAATTACAGACCTCTACATGCTTTGTAAGTAGGAAAACCTGCTAAATCGGCAGTGTATCAAATACTTGTTCTCCGCACTGTATATATACTCCCCAACCCAGGCCACGTACTAATGACCTCCTTGCATAGGAATCAGAGAGAGAGAGAGAGAGAGAGAGAGAGAGAGAGAGAGAGAGAGAGAGAGAGAGAGAGAGAGAGAGAGAGAGAGAGAGATGAGAGAGAGTAGACGAGAGAGAGAGATGATAGAGAGAGAGAGAGAGAGAGAGAGAGAGAGAAGAGAGAGAGAGAGAGAGGGGACAGAGCGTGTGGGGACAGAGCAGGATGGAGAGGGGGAAGCAGGGAGTTTCTCATATTAGGATATCTATATAAGCCTCTTCTACCCTGACTGTAGCTGATGGAGATATTGGGGGTCTGTATTCTAGTTAGAGATGTCAGATTATGTAGCTATCTGATTTGTTTATGGCGAGACCACCCCATGGTATTGGTGTGAATAGTGGGATGATAGTGTGTGTTTTGTATCTTTTGAGGTCATGTAAGAAATTAGAATGTCTTATCAATATTTAATATGGCAATTTCACTGTTCAACTTGATCAGTGGCACATCCCCAATGGCTTTACATGACATATTCATTTATTCATTATGTACACTATAGCCTACTGATAAATATATGTATAAATAGTACCTATTTCTATGCTGGTATACATTGTACGTTGTACCTCTTATTTTGATGTGGCTCCCTAGTGTCTTATTTGTCTTATGTTCAGAGCAGTACCATCTCCCAAACGGAAGAAGACAAGATGGGAGAGGACGGAGGAAAGGAGAGGAGGGAGGAAAGGAGAGGAGGGAGATAAGGGAGTGTGTTTGATGTGTAAATGTACGGCACACAGTTGGCTTGTGATGTTTTCCCCACAGAAATGCAGGTAAATTACACATGAGTTTGGGTCAAAATTAGAACATTATTAAAATGGGGGTATAGTATCAGATCATTATTAGCATGCATAGAAAGAATTAGCCTACTCTCTCCCTCTCTTTCCTCTCCTCATTTGTTATTGTCATGGGGCACACACACGTCTTTGACATACAGTACATCTTTAAACTCTCTTCCTTTGAGCTGGAGATAGCACCACACTCCCACCAGAAGACATGAATGCTCAGAAGGTTCTGGTGTCCTAGACGATCCGAGACGTGGTAGCAGCAGAGGGAGAATTATATAATTATATTCAAGATCAAAGGTTACTGTTGTCATGGCGCTGACACAGATGCTGAGATTGTCCTACAGCAAACATCTGTTACCTTGACACAGAGTGAGCGAGTGATACATTTCAGTATTCCAAAAGCGCATATGGGTAGTGTTGTGAACTCAGGAAGGCACGTCTGGAATGGAGAGGCAATTAGGCATCACACCTGCCCAAAGTCAAGGTGAAGCAGGAATCATCTGACAAAACGGGAAGCGATACAGTAGATGCCAAGTCTTCCCTTTCAAACATCCAAAGTTCCATAGCTGTGGACTTTTATTTCATTATTAGTTCTAAGGGTTAGGGTTATTGTTGTAGTAGAGGGTTAGGGTTGAACTGGGATGTGGACATGGTTTGTTCAATGGTGAGTTTGGGTCAGCAGGTTTTAGAGAGGATGTATGGCTCAGTCATTAGTGGTTAGAAAAGCGTTATAGTGATGCTCTGGACTTTTATTTTACCGTTAGTCCTGGTATCATTTGGCCTGTAATTGTTTTCCTCTTCCCTAACTCTCCTTGGATCCACACATCTTTAAAGAAATCTTTAAAGAAATCTTTAATCAATACAGTCTAGACAAGGCCATTCTCTCAGTAACGTCGCTCTAACATTCTTAATTTGTAGCTGAAACTAGTATACTAGTTTCCTGGTAAAACCCTGAAAGGACTCCATCTCCTCTCTTCTTTATGTCTCTTTCAGATCTCGTTTACTTTCCTCTAATTGTTCTCTTATATCCCGCCTCTCTCCTCCCTCTCTCACTCTCTCCTCTCGTTCCCTCTGCCTCCCTCTTTCTCTCTCTCCTTCCCTCCCCCCTCTCCCTTCCCGTCTCTCACTCCATTAAGCCTCCCACCGCCTGTCCTTTTGCCCATGTTAACTGCGGTGTCTAATGCCTTCTGCCTTTTTACTCTTCTCCTGCTGCATGTTTAAGTGTTAAGTGTGTCGAGCCTGGAGTCGTCAATCCACCGATCCCTCCATACATCCACATCCATCCATCAGCCGTGCGGTGCTAAAGTTTAAGTGCTGTTGTCCAGTAAAAACCATAGGCCAGCTATTATTAACCACTTAACCGCCCAGCCCAGCCACTTGACAGCATTAAGAGAGCCTAGTTAACCTTTTATACCTACATCTTTATGCCCTTGGTAGCTAATGCCTACAGTATTTGGTGTATGCGTCCCAAATAGCACACTATTATATATATAGTGCACTACTTTTGACCAGAGCCCTAAGGGCCTTGGTCAAAAGTAGTGCACTATATAGGTGATAGGGTTCCATTTGGGACGGAGCCATGGATATCCTGTTATCCATTAATGAATCCTGTGGAAATCATTAGAACATTTGATGGCAGTGATATTAATTTGTGACCGGACTGCCCTCTTTCTCCTTCTAGGAGTGTAATGTTTTAGTGAAGAGAGTTCGTAGCACCCCTGGTAGAGACTGACATTTGAAAAGCAAATACTGTTATATAGTGAGCTGCAAGGGTTGATGTGCAGATAGTCCAATATCGGCC